GAAAAACGACACCCTCTGTCCTTAGACCCTCACATCGTACAAGGAAAAACTTCCAGAGAAAAATCCACAGTTTGAGGGGGAAAAATGGGAGAAACCTCAGGGAGAGCAACAGAGGAGGGATCCCTCTCCCAGGACGGACAGACGTGCAATAGATGCCGTGTGTAAATCGAAGAGATAATACATTTTACAGCATATAGACCGAATGTTAGGAAATGCATGTGTCTGTAATAAGAAGATGAATCCATGAGGATGTCAGCTACAATCCTGAGGAAGCCATCAGGGAAGCAGCATGGCGAGACCCAAGGCAGGACCGCAGAGACAGGTTCAGCCACGACCCGAAACGTCCACGACTTAATCCAGAACTCGGGATAGAGGATCCAAGACACAGGACTACAGCAAGAGGATCAGCCTCGATTCCGGATCCCGGCGTAGATATAGATACAAAACAAGAACAAAGATTTGGCTGGGTTAATCGGAACAAGAGAATACACAGACACAGACAGAGAGGGAAAAGGTCATTGGATAAAAGTTATTCTTGATAACCCTCTAGAAAGATCTCATGAACTTCCCCACTCAATCTATCAAGACCCGAGCAGTTCTATTAGAAGTCCAAGGTAAAGGCACAGGCCGGCGCATATCGCTCATGGAATCCCTCACCATATGAACTCTGACCCCTCAAGTGTACAAGTGAAGAGACACCATGTGTCAGCTCCTTTTAGAATATAATTTCTTCTCTTCTCAGAGAAACAAGGGTATGAAAAGAATAGCCAGAAACAGAGGAAGAGAGGCACAACGTGACTACGTAAATGCACTCTCCTAAATATTAAACGAGTAAGAGGTGAAGAAACACAAAGCAAGAAATTGAAAAGAAAAGGCACCATCATGCTTCCCCTTAGAATAGGGTGGAAATTATGAAGACCCAAATTAAAAAAGAGGGGACATGGGATACTAGTGAAGAGGGACAGTGAAAAAGCCCAACGTATCCAACGTACTAGCACTCTCCAAAGAGACAGAAGGTCAAAGTATACGCCGAGAGGCACAACGTGAATGCACTCTCCCGTGTAAATTAGTTCAAGGGAAAGGGGGTGAAAAACTAAACTAATCAAAAGAAGGAAGTAGAGAGGCCTAAATGCCCTCTCCTAGATTCAGTTAAAGGAAAGAACTGGGGAACAAACAAGTACAGGAGGAAAGGCCCAACGAGTCAACGTCAACACACTCTCCTAGAATAGTTCAAGGTAAACGAGGTAGGAAGAATATAGTAAGAAACAGAGCTGAAAAGGCGTCCAAGAACGCTTTCCCTCTATTCCAGGGTGAAAATGTAGGATAAGAAAACAGAGATAGAGAGCACAACAACCTATCTCTTCGTCAGATACACTCCCCCGCCTGGATAAGCGACTCTGTGCCCCATCCCCCTCTACCGGACCTTAGATCCTATGGCTCTATGCTGTGTAAGTACTGGCCATAGTTACTACTGTAACTACGGTTCTAAGCCATAAGTACTGGCCATAGTTACTACTGTAACTACTAGGGGTGTAACGGTATCCGTATTCGTCCCGTACCGTTACGGTTCGGACGTCACGGTTCGGCACATGCAGTCACACGGCGAATACGCCTTTTTTTACGAGTGGGAAAAAGGTCTGTCATTCAGGGCAGTATCCACTACACTATTTATAATCTAGGGGGCGGCATTGCGCCTAAAAGTTATTTGCCAGCCGCCCTTAAAGGGATAGTGGAAATCCGCGAATTTTGGTTTTAACTTATGTATTTTTATTAAAAATAAGCATAATAAACAATTTTTTTTAATTTCATGCGCCTAGTTTCATTTTATTTTCAATTTTACTGCGCCCTCTCAATGAAACGAAATACTTCGGGAATCGTCGGGAATCTTCGGGTGATGACGAGAGCATAGGAAGACGGGCACAAACAATGGCGGACATTCAATAGCATTTGCATGTGAATAGCCGAGTATATTTCCATAAATATGATGATTGATTATCAGTAAAAAATTCTACGTGACACAACGACATTGGATTAACCTTGAGATGCGTTTTTATTCCGTTGAACACAACTTTTGATCACAAATCAAAAAAGGTAAGACGTAATTATTGTAATATTTTTGGAACCGGATGTTGTTTACTTTCTCTTTTCTGGCTGATAGCTCCAGGAATTCGAGGTCTTACAGTGATGACATTACATGTGTGGAATCTGTGGAGTCTCAGCTTTAAATCGTATATCTTGTTTGTGCAGTTAAGAGTAATAAGGGCATTTCTACCGTGTGTTGTGTGTAAAAAAGCGTTAGCATTAGTTAGCATTGTTTCGCTCAATGCTAATTCAAAGGCTTGGTATTACTCTTGTGTTTTTTCTAGCTAACAATTGTTCTTATTGTCAGTTAGCGGAGTTTCTTACCTTTAAAAGGGTATGAAACATTAATAGTTTCATAAATGTTAAGAAGCCCTGAGACATGTGAGAGAAAAAAAACTGTGGGAGGGGTCCACTGGGGGACCTTCGGGCTTAACTGGTTAACAATGATTAATATTTGTAAAGGCTACAGGTGATCTTAAGATGCGTGAGCTATGCTTAGGGACCTACCAGTCAAGATTATTTGTGCGTAGGGGTGCATCATCTGGCGCCTGGTCCTGGTCATCCTCGCCATTGCCCATGCCGTGAACCATCACCTCGGGCTCGAACAAATAAGGACGTAATGGTCCATCGTCTGGCTCAATATTGTCACCATCGTCGCTTACTGAACCGGATTCAGATTCAGTTCCTAAAACGACATTTTCGTAGGAAAGCCGAGAGGATGTTTCTGACTCGCTATCATCACTGGATACCTCGTACAATCCTTCTTCTTTGTCTGGTATATTTGCCCTTCCACGTTCATTCTGCATAGACGCCATGGTTTGTTATCGTATCGTCTTCCTAAGTTTTCGTCACTTCCGGTTTGGCTGAGTCGAACATTTCGTTTCTAAAAAACTTCGGGGAAGCTGCAATAAAGTGCTTCTAACATGCGTAAGGCAATTATTATATTTTTTTAATCAGGTGTGATTGTTTTGGTACGTAATTATGCTTGTATATAAGTTACAACGAAACTATTTGAGGTTCCATTTCCACTATCCCTTTAAACAACAAATGAAGAACAAGAAGAAACAACAACAAAACGAACAAAATACAAGAAGAAGAAAAGTTAGTATGGTGATTTCAGATAACACACAGGAGCTAGAACCCACCTGTTTCTTTTAAATCAGCTGTGTGGGAACATTTCGGGTTCCCTGTGGACTACAATAACGATGAAGTGCGCGAGTGGTGGATCGGACGAGGACGGTGTGTCGGCGTTGTTCGACAGCGATGCGGTATGCTAATGGAAACACACATGCTAAATCATATCAGAAGCCATCTCCCAGATTTGCCACTCACCGGAGCCCGGCAAAAGACAACAGCAGTTCAACAGCTGATCCCCGCTGTTTGTAAGAAGCCAAGAGACATGAGAGCCGACATAAATAACGGAAGCTTTTGGCATATGTTTTTCAACGACTATGCGCTCTTGAAACACTTCCTTATTATTTATTTTGTAATATTTTCAAGACATTCTTTCTAGTTTTACAGCTTGATGAAACCTTTTTGTTTGACATCAGCCATTATAGATAATCTGGCCATCTGAGTGTGTGTGGTACTGTTTGTGGTTTGTTTTTATCGGTGTAATACAGTTAATTATTCAAAATGTTAGAGTTCCTTATTTTTATAATGAAACTTGCACTTCAAAATAAATCAAAAACTAACCTGGAATTATGCATTTGGGACTTTTTTTTTGCTTTTTCTTGTTGTACCGAACCCGTACCGAACCGTGACCCCCAAACCGAGGTACGAACCGAACCGTGACTTCTGTGAACCGTTACACCCCTAGTAACTACGGTTTCAAGCCGTGCAAGTACTGGCCATAGTCAATACCGTAACTACGGCTCTATGCTGTGTAAGTACTGGCCATAGTTACTACTGTAACTACGGTTCTAAGCCATGTAAGTACTGGCCATAGTTACTACTGTAACTACGGTTCCAAGCCGTGCAAGTACTGGCCAGAGTTACTACTGTAACTACGGCTCTATGCTGTGTAAGTTTTGGCCATAGTTACGACTGTAACTACGGTTCTAAGCCGTGTAAGTACTGGCCATAGTTACTACTGTAACTACAGTTATATGCCGTGTGAGCACTGGTTACTGCTGTAACTATGGCTCTGTGCTGTTCTCTTCTTTAGAAGCTAGTTATCTGGTCTTAAACATGTGTGTTATTTGACTTGATCTCGCTTGATCGTTAGCAGCAGCCGCTCGGCTAACGCCTTGCGTGTACTGTTAAGCTTCTTTATTTTACCCAGCTAGGTGAAGGCAGTGCTCTCGCTCCCGCTCCCTCTGCCGGTAATGCGGATGTAGCTACATCCCTTTTTCTGTTCGGTGAGTAGTAGCACCGCTCTACTCTTCCCGTTCAGCAGGTAGCTGGTGAAGGCTGTGTTCCCGCACCCGCTCCCGGTTACGCTGCATCTGGCGTTCGTCTCTAACTCAATCAGTGAAGGCAGTTCTCGCCCCCGCTCCTGGTAGACGCTGAACTGCCTAGTTTTTCCGTTAAGCAGGTAGCCAGTGAAGGCTGTGTTCCCGCACCCGCTCCCGGTTACGCTGCATCTGGCGTTCGTCTCTAACTCAACCAGTGAAGGCAGTGTTCTCGCCCCCGCTCCTGGTAGACGCGGAACTGCCTTGTTTCTCCGTTAAGCAGGTAGCTGGTGAAGGCTGTGTTCCCGCACCCGCTCTCGGTTATGCTGCATCTGGCATTCGTCTCTAACTCAGCCGGCAGTGTTCTCTTTGGGGTTTTTTCAAATTGTATTTACAGCAACCAACTTCTATTAATATACTAATAGAACTTTCTGTACTGCTTTGAGCACATTATATATCTACCAAATGAACATCCTATGCTTTCTGCTCATGTGATAAAGTTGTTCTGTTGTTTGTGTTCTCCAGATCTAGATGAGTGCCAGGACCAGCGGACCTGCACCCGGGGCCACTGCCAGAACACTGAGGGTTCCTTCCTCTGCCACTGTGGCCCTGGCTTCAGAGGGTCTTTGGCTGGAGACGATTGTGATGGTATGAAGTGTAGTTCCAAAAACATTTTAAGGACAAAACTAAATTATGAGTAAAAATGTGTAAGATTTAACTCATTAAGCAATAGAACAGTTAATAATAATACATATTTATATTAGTATTATTTCTCAAAGTCTGTGATTTTAACTGACAAGCTCCACGTTATTGCACCAACTGCGCTTTTTTTTCCATATGAAATGTATTTGATATCAAATTAAATAATAAAAACTGATACATATTGAATCAATTGATACATAAATCAATAATTATTACAATAGTTTACAGATTAATCGTATATCTATATTAATGGGTGATTAACTTACATACAATTCAAAATATGTGAGGATTATTAAAAAACACAAAAGAAATGCAGAGATAACTGAATTCTCAGATTTAATTTAGGTTTCAGTTTTATATCAGGCTTTTTGGTATTTTCTATACATTTTCCCACTGCTTTTATTTTCCAATAGCAATATATTAGTTATTAGAATGTTTTATAACCATTTCAGTGACACTTGTGTCAAAAAACACAACAGGTAATTGAAGTCATTTGTCCAGACTTCATTGGTCCCCATAATCAAAACATCCTTTCTTATGATCTTATTATATACGGTATAATATTTAGAGCTTAAAGAATTTCAACCTGAAAACAACACTCACAACATGATATGTGTGTTTTCCAGATGTGGATGAGTGTTTAGAAGAAGCCCGGCCCTGTGAGTCCGGGGGGGAGTGTGTGAACAACATGGGGTCCTACACCTGCTCCTGCCCCCGGGGGTACCGGCAGGTCAACGGCACCCGCTGCTCAGGTGAGACATTTAAAGATCAGGAACTGTAGGATGGCAGTTAGAAATAAACGGGGGGCACAGATTGCATCGAGTGGTAAATTAAATACATTTTTCTTGAAGCAGTGTTTCCCCTATATACTGTACAAATAGCGTCGGCGCTGCTGAAATATGCGCGGCGCTGCTAGGGGGCGCCAGCCAGGTACCAAAAAAATTAAAATATATATACAGTATATATATTTTTTTATAAATAATGATAATTTTTTTTTTTTTTATAAATAATAATAAGTGCCGACCCTTTTTGATTTTTGATTGTTTGTTATGTGGATTTGTAGTATTTAAGGTGTATTTTGCTAAATCTTGAGACATTGCCACTGTATGTAATAGGCAGGCCATCGGGAGGACCGGGAGGTTTCCCGATGGCCTGGCCTGTTAAGTGGCCTGCTGGCGATTGTGAACGCAACGCTGCGCAAATGTGGGTTTGCCTCACACAGGGTGATGTGGCCTGTGTAAACACATATTTCCAAGGCACTCCTTTATAATTATTAGGATAAATAAAAACAGGTTTGAAATCATTCCAATGTATACTATAGGACAGTAAACCAAAAATATCGTTTAAAGTTGGAGAGATACAAAAATATGTATAAATAAATAAATGTTAACTAGGTAAAATAAGATATACTAAATGAACAAAACAAAAAAAGCTACATTTATTTGTTATTGGCTATGGTAGGTTATTGGTTATGTTCATATACTTATTTGATTACTAAAATGTAAACCGATCTTTTTCATATGGGTGTTTTAGAGTTGTACCCCCTAGATCAGGTCTCTAGTAATTGTGTGCTTAAAGTGCACCAGATTGAAGAATTTTACCTTAAAATGTTCAAACAAATCTTCCCGGGGGGGCATACCCCCGGACCCGGCCTAGAGGATGTGACGTCCACCCCCCAATTAAAACATGTTCATACAATACTGAATACATTTGAAGCCATTTTGACGTCTATTACCTATGTCAATAAGTTCCTGTTTTTGTAGTGTATTTGCCTTTTGTAGAGAGTTTTCATTTAATCTTTATATATAAAATCTCACCTAAAATCTCGCCTAGGGCAGCAAATTGTCTAGAACCGGCCCTGGTACTAGGCCTCAAGAGCCTTTCTTGTGCTGGCAGACACAGAAAAAAATTGGCGGGGCGCACTTCGCACGCACAAAACATTTTTTGGTGCTTGAAACGAACCGGATTCCGGAGCTATTACCTCATTCACACCAATGGTGTTTCAGGGCCGGTTCGGAGCTGGAGCTTGAAAAGCACCAGGTTTTCCTCTTCACACCGCAGCGGAGCAGCCTCTTAGCTCCGGAATCCGGTTCGTTTCAAGCACCAAAAAATTGTCCGGCCAGAGCAAAAGCACCGCATACGTCATGCTTACGTCGAGGCAAGGGCAGGGGCGGGATCAACTCCTGAACAACAACAAAAAGCCGGCGTTGTATCCAGTTTGTACACAACGATGGAGAAACTTAACAAGCAGCAGTGGTCCACTGAAGAGACCAGCTACCTACTGGGAATCTGGTCTTCCGAAGAGGTACAGAGGAAGCTGGAGCACAATCGGCCATTGTTGTTGTTGTTGTTGTCGGTGTCAGCTGTGAGGGGTTTCCGCGCGGTTTGGCTTTATGAAGCAGGCACGCAAACGGTTACGTCATGATGCAAACGATGACGCAATGACGCAGCACCAGTCGGACTCTGGGCAGTGTGAAAAGAGCCGGAGCTAAACCGAAGAACCGGTTCTAAACCTGAAAAGCTCTAGCACGGAGCTTGAACCGGAGTTGCTTTGGTGTGAATGAGGTATAAGAGGCAGCTCCGCTGCGGTGTGAACAGGAAAACCCGGTGCTTTTCAAGCTCCAGCTCCGAACCGGCCCTGAAACACCGTTGGTGTGAATGAGGTAACAGTGTCTTTGGTCTCTATGCTTCCAGATGTTGATGAGTGTGTGGATGAACCAGAGCTCTGCTCCCCCCACGCGGAGTGTCTCAACACAGAGGGGTCCTATCTGTGTGTGTGTGAGAGCGGGTTCAGTGCCAGCATCCACACGCCCTCCTGTGACGGTAAGATGCTACTACAAAAGAAAAGAAAAAACAAACATGCATTCACCAAAGCGCACACACACACACACACACACACCTTCTCCTGTGTATTTTTCCTATGTAGTGGATTCAACAAAATATTACTGCAGTAGACACACATGCTTAAATCATTAACATGTTGATGCTGACCAAAAGTAATGATCATTCAGTAGCACACATGTCTTCAATTATGTAATTCTATATTTATTTTGTCAACAAACCCCTTGAAAAGATCAAACCCAACAATATGTCTTTCAGTGTTCACTGCTGCTTGTGGCACTCAGATGAAAGTCATTTTCTACTTAACTTTCTTATTTGCCTTTAAAGCTGGCCACTGCAGTTTGAATTAAACTGTAATCAAACAGGAGATCCAGTGCATTTGTTTGGGAGATTATTCCACATGTGGTGCTGTAGTGAGTATTTGTGGGGGAGGGAAAGATTATGTGGGATTGAGTCAAAATGTACTAGTCTTTGTTCATTGTAATGAAGGAACATGCCACCCAGTTCAACAGGGTAGCTCATTGATTTGTGACATAGATTGTCACAAAGTGTGGTACATTCATTCACAGAGGATTAACCCTAAGCACTCTAGTGTTCCCCTAACTATTCATTTTGTACACAATGAGTTTGGAATTGGTGTTTTTTAGTGAAATGTTTAAACAATTGTTGTCACTATAAAATTTGGTATAAACATTAATTATCTTCACAAAATATTTCTTGATAACATTGTTAATCCCCTGAATTTTAATGCAGTATTATCCTCAAGTTATGAGCAAAAACGAAAGCCATTCCTACTGCAGGTAGGGATAAATGTAACCATGCTAACAGGCTAAACAAAAATAGTGAACATAATAAAAATGTCATTATTGCCATTGTGATAACGCACTGTGTAATAATCTTGTCCTATAGTACGAATATGTTGCTTGTCGATATAAGTGAGAATGATTCATTTTCTCACTGCAAGAAGAGGGTTTATTTGTGTCATTTATCTCAGTTTAAAGGACTTTTCTTTTTCACACATTTTGATGAATATTCCATCTTATAAAACGCCTTAATAAATATACCACACATTACCTTTTCACAATGTACAACCACAAAACCCAGAAAGTGCCTTCCTTTCTTCTTTTAACAGTCTGCATCTAGCACGTCCCTTCATTTCTGCCTTTTATGAAAAAAGTCTTCAAGTTCTTTCACATATAGCATGCTGCTCATACTTTCTGCAGGATGACAGCAGAGCTGGCCCCTGTGCCAGAGCTGTTTAATGCCATTTCCTGCCTGCAAAGAAAATGGAGAGAAAAGAGAGGAGAAGAAACAGACGGAAGCCTTTGAGCTGGCTGTCTAGACGAGGAGGGGTGTGTGCATGCGTGTGTGCATGCATGCAGCACATTTATCCGTTAATGTCACGTCTTCAATAAGAAGGAATATATAAGAAAAACAAAGGAAAAGCTCTGTTTTGCGAACAATTAGGCTGCATTTCTTAAACAGATGTAGATATAACTTAGTGAAAACATGATCTTAGAGAAACATGACTACCTAAAAGGAATGAAACAAAGCATTTGACATGTGTTGGCCGTGTTTCTCTGCTCTTCAGATATCGATGAGTGTGGGCTCAACGACACTCTGTGTGGCCCTCACGGCTTCTGTGAGAACCGGCTGGGGTCTTTCCGCTGCCTCTGTGAGCAGGGCTACCAGGAGGCCCCGGGGGGCCAGGGCTGTGTGGGTGAGTGTGGACCTCTCTGTGTGTGTACATTCAGATAGGAGCAGTGGCCACTGGTCATTAGGGGACACATCCCCACCTAGTGTCAGCAGAAAGTATTAAAATAATGATTACAACAAAATGCAAAAAAAAATTTAAAAAATATATAAAATATATTTTAAGATCATGTTTAATCATCTGATTCGTCTGTACATTGCTGTTTTATATGTGTTCTTCTAATTAGTGTCTACAGTGTGTGCCTATTGAGCTGTTTAGAGCCATGTGGGACAAAACCCGATCCTGCCCCTCCCTCTCACTGTCTAAGTGAACGGTGACTGTAAAAACTACACTGCGCATGCTAAGAGTATTTTCCTATTTAATGTGTGTGGCAAAAAATAATGACCATTGGGGCAGTGAGCTGCCATCCCCACCATACGTCAGCTCACATAATTCAGAGCTGATTGGCTGTAAGTACGTGTGCCGCGAAAAGTGTGGTGTGTGAAGAGGAGGAGGAGAGAGACGCGTCCTAAAACCAGGAAGTAAGCTGCGCATGGCTTCCCTCCACAAAAAAGCAATGAGATTTCTCCATAGGATTTTAGAAAATAGCTCAAAATAAGATCTGTGGGAAACGTACCTGTTAGATAAATGTACGTTTTGTTCAGTCGGATAATATCCACATGTCTACTTTTATAATTTTCGAATCATAAATCCATCCTTTAGATTTATGATAGACTTTTTAAACTACAAGAAGATAAGGAGGACTTTTACAAAAAAGTAATAGAGGTTTTTGTCCAGAAGGATAGGCAAATGGACTTCATCTTCAAGTCAAGGTAAGACCACCATTTTATTGAGAGAACAATTCAATATTTAAATGATAAAATGATCCTTCTGTTGAACTGTCTGTTTAAAATTAATTGAAGCATCAGATTAAAAAAGCTTTTGAAAATAATATTATATTTTGATTTAGGTCAAAATATAATATAATGTAAACCTGAAGAGTCAGTGCCAGTGCCTCACCAGCCATGAACCTCACTGCAGAAGCTTATATATATATAGACATCTGAGTTTTTTGTGCCCCACCACTTTTGTACATGTAGAAACGCCACTGGATAGGAGTATTGTAATATATTGTATTTATTACTTTAAGGCTAGATTATTGCAATTCCTCACTATCCGCCTGTCCAAAAACATCCATTTAGACTCAGTTTGTCAGGGTGTGGCACCATCCATCGACCCAAAAGCAGTAAAAAAGAGGACGGCAGGTATTTATAACCAAAAGCTGATAAACAAAGCAGTTTCACACAAGAACAGAGGAACCAGGCACGGTAGAGAGAAAACAAGAAAAGAAAAACAGTCCAGGGAGCTCGAAGAACAAGGGAAGGAATGTTGACAGGAACACAGGGAACCAGGAACCAGATGGAAACTCTGGGTGTTTCAAAATGTCGAGGAAGGCTGCTCCAGAGCCACTATTTCAAGGATGCTACGTCATCGAGTCCCGCCGAAGGACTGTTCCAATGTCCAGGATGCTTGGAATTCTACCGAGGCCAGCGTCTTTCATTGCGGGAAATTTCGAGGCTGCAGATGTGTATCCTCCGAGGTCTTAAAATCCCCACAATGCTTTGCGCACGGACCAATTTCCAAAATCTTTGGCGGAAATCGCGCTCCATTTAAGGCGGGGCCTCGCATATGACGCACACCTGTTAGCCTGTTCCACCATTCTTCCTTTTCCAAGGCTAGAAAGGATTCTTGCATCGCTTCTGAAAGACCTGACTCGGAAGACATGTCCTACCAAGGAAGCGTCCTCGACATTGAGAAACACCCAAAGACTGACAACGGACACTAATTACATAAGACCCAGCTGAGGGCAGGTACAGACACATGGGCAGCAGGGGGGTCACACACAGGTGGAAATAATCAAGGCAGGCTACAAAGGCAGCAAAAAGCACAGACAGGAACTTAACCAGACAAGACAAAGAGAGAAATTATATTTCAAAATAAAACAGGAAATATTACATACTAACCGAGATCATTACAGAGTTGATTACAAATTCTGAGGAACATGAATTGATAAGATCTAGGAAAGAGATCATATTACTCCTGTATTAGCATCTCTGCACATACTCCCTATACAATACAGAAAACAGATTAAAATCCTTCTCCTAGCCTACAAAGTCCTTAATGTTCAGGCACCATCGTACCTTAAATAGCTCATAGTAGCCTAGAACCCCACTAGGTTCCCAGAATGCTGGGTTATTAGTGATAAGAGTCTCCAAAAGTACAGAGCCTTCAGCTTCTGTAGACCAGCTTCCTGTTTGTGGAGGGATTTGGGAGGTACTCTCCATTTTAAGAGTAGACTAAAGACGCTCCTGTATGATAGCTTATAAAGTAGTAAGGATATGCAACTCCATCTGGTAGCTTCACAGCCCCCTCACCCAGACCCTGTGACCTACAGCTGGTCTTGGGGGTGCACTGCCACAGTGGAAATGAGCTCCAGCTGTGGTTGTAGTGTCTGTGTCAATTAAAATGTGTGACCGTCAGAGGTGTGGACTCGAGTCACATGACTTGGACTCGAGTCAGACTCGAGTCACCAATTTGATGACTTGAGACTCGACTTGACAAAATCACAAAACACTTGCGACTCGACTTGGACTTGAACACCAATGACTCGGGACTTGACTTGGACTTGAGCCTTCTGACTTGAGGTGACTTGATAATTTAATTCAGAGGCCTCCAACATGCCGATCGCGAGATGCCGCTAGAAGAGCAGACTCCCGTCGGGGAGAGCAGAATCTTCAGCCGCTCCAACTCTTGCTGTGAATCCATGCAGGCAGGGGCGGGACTTCATTTTGGTGAGCCACCATGCGGCCAATCATATGCGAGGACACACAAGGATCATACCATTATGTGAAAGAAGGGTGGGGGGCAGACGCTCCAAAGACAGCAGGTGTAGTAGTGGTACAGGCCAGCTACACAGAGCGACGGGGAGACGGGGAGCCAGATTTAAATGCAAGCGCGTCGGAAAAAGTCAAGAAATTAGCGAAAACCGAAAAAAGAAGCAGCATCGGCACCAATAAACTGGTTACCTCAACATCAGGGATCTTATACATTAAACTCCTTCTGAATCAAACCGTTACGGTAGCCTTACCTTACTGATCTCTCTTAAAATACAAATAAAACGTGTTACTTTACCAGCAGAGAGAAAATTGATTATTAAATTAATTAATGAGACTAATAAAGAGCAGTTTGATTATCAAGTATTATTCTGTTGATGGATGTCATTACATTTGGTTAAAAGCACATAATGACTTGTTTAAGACTCGTTTTTTCAAAGTTTAGGACTTGGACTTGACTTGAACTTGCCCATCCTGACTTGAGACTTGACTTGGACGCAAAGACTTGAGACTTGACTCGGACTTGAGCGCAAAGACTTGAAAAACAATGACTTGGTCCCACCTCTGGTGACCGTTACACAAGCCCATATCCCTACAGTTTCTTAATGATATCCATAGTATGTGGTTGATTTGAAGTCCAATAGTAGGTTGTTGTAAGCTCTTTATGACACAAGAACATTATTATTAATATTAAATGTATTAAAGTGTCGCAGAGACCTCTGACTATGGTGATACCATCTACCGCTCGGCGTGTAAAGGAGCACTCGATCATTTAGACGTTCTGTATCACTCCGCCATCCGCTTCGCCACCAATGCCCCCTACAGGACACACCACGGTGACCTGTACTCTCTGGCTAACTGGCCCTCTCTTGAGACCAGACGCAACATCCACTGGCTGATGTTTGTTTACAAAACACTCCTAGGCCTCACCCCCTTCTACCTCACACAATTACTGCAAATCCGCACACCCCCGACGCACAACACCCGGTCAGCTACAAGCATCCTGTTAAAGATCCCCAAAGCCCATACATCCTTTGGCCGCTCTGCCTTTCAGTTTGCAGCAGCTGATAGCTGGAATGTCTTTCAAAAAACTTTGAAAATGAAAACCTTTGTCTCCCCCCGCACCTTCAATGTCACTATTATTGACACCCTGGTACACACATGTAGCTGCTTTGCCTGATGCTGATTTTAAATGACTGATTGAACCACAGCAATATTGTTTTAGAGTTTTTATATGTTTAACTGCTATGCCTGTCATCTTTGCTCTATGTGTTTGTGTTGTCTCCTGGGTTCTGTAGTGCCCGGAGTCTGTCTTTTTATTTATTTTTCCTCCCAAACCCCATCCCCTCAGGAAGCCTTTGCCTCCTGTCAGGTCATCATTGTAAATAAGAATTTGTTCTTAATTGATTTTCCTGGATAAATAAAGGTTCTACTACTACTACTGTCAGTCAGGGGAATTGGATTTCCCCACCTTTGTCATGATGAGGCAGCACAGCAATTGCTAAAACACTCAAATCTACAAGGTATCTGTCAGGGATAGGGAATATCAGGACCCAAAGGCAGTTTAAAAAGACAAAAAGGTCAGGTAACAAAAAGCGAGCTTTATTAAAAAGCCGAAAAAACAAGAAACAACTAAACATTAACAAGACCGAGGAAAAAGACAGACATGAACAAACTTACAAGCATGGGCAGGTAACTAGGACAAAGACGGGCAGGTAACAAGGACTTGAAAAAAGACGACGATCCGACATGGAGCACAGGGGAAGCCAAGACTAAATACACAGAAGGGTAATCACAGGACAAGACACAGCTGGGCAGGGGAGGCAGAAACACAAGGGCAACAGGTGAACACAATGAGGCAATCAGACACAGGAAGGAAGACCAGACACAGGGAGAACAGAATTTCAAAATAAACCCATAACTAAACACACAAAACTAATATCATGACAGTTTCTTTAACTTAACTTGAACTACTCTTAGTTCCAGTGGCGAGCCGTGACTTTTATACCTAGGCCCTCTGACCTCCCCCTTCCCTCGAAAAAAAGAAGAGTTATTACGTCACAGCGTATACTTCAGCAGATTATCAAAACAGCGGCCCGGGGTGCAAAACGCGACCCTCTACCACACAAAACAACACCATTTATATAAACACCTATCATGACAGCCAAGTAACAATTACAAATGAATTAAGTCGGCACGGCGGCCCGCATTGAAAATGACTTAGGCCTACCTTTGATGATCAAATCACTAAAACACAAAGTCCATCCTCCTGTCCTTCTGGATGAAGCACTTGCGGGTCATTCAGCTGATCCTTTGCCACTCCAGTTTATCATTGTAACTCAATCTTGAAAATTACTCGGTTAATAATTTCGCAACGATGTCATCACTATCACTGAAGTGAGCCATCATGAACGAACTTATATCATAAATCTAACGATCATAAATCTATCGATTAGATTTATGATTATAAAATAATAAAAGTAGGGTAGACATGTGGATATTATCCGGCTGAACAAAACGTGCATTTATCTAACAGGTTCGTTTTCCACAGACCTTATTTCCAGCTATTTTCCAAAATCCTATGGAGAAATCCCACTGCTTTCTGTCGAGGGAATCCGAGCACTGCTTACTTCTGGGTTTTAGGACGCGTCACTGCACCACTTGCATAGACTTCACAGCGGGCGGAACTTGTCATAAAGTCCGCGAAAATAAAGCCCGCCCATTTAGAGGGAAGATATGATTGGTCAATTGTACTGTCATTTGACATTACTCTCTCATTGAGTTACTATAGCTGGCCCTCTGTGAATGTAGAGAGGGACCAACAAGCTCTCCCGTCTTCACATAACTCGCAGAGACGGCATTTAACCCTTCACATTCCAACAGAAACTGAACAGGCAGATTCGAAGGATTTATTTATTTGGAAATATTATTTGAAATACAATTAAATCAAGTTATTTTGGTAAAACTAATGAAAAATGTAACAACAAAAAAATCTAAAAAATAATATTTATGTTTTCAAATATTATTTTTTAGAATATCTTAGGGCCTCACAGAGGGCCTAGAGGGCCCTGACGGCTCGCCACTGCTTAGTTCATTTTAAAGAAAGTCAATGTGAATAGGAACCCGACAGTTTTTTTTATCATGACCTGACCACATACACTGTGCTAGAGATGTAAAAGTGAATTAACTTTGACCTCAAGTTGTTTCAATGTTCACTTTTCAGTTGCCATGTTAGTGTTGTGTCAGGCTTCTACTAAACAATAAGAACAACCGTATGTCCTTTGATGACTTCAACTTGAGCTATAACCTTCTTAGAAAAATTGACCAAAAGCTCCAGTGTCAACATTTAAGAAATGTAACATTTTTAAAAGACGAATTACATTGTATTGAAATTATTTTCATACAGTCTGGGAATCATTTATGTTTATAAAAGTCCAATTATACTGAAACAGTCTCAAACAAAGGCCTACATTTCTTTCTACTTGAAGTAAAGGCCCAACACAGAATTGCAGAATTACCCTGAGACACGCTTTGTTGTTTCTCAGATCATCTTTGAAAGCAACATTGTTAAGGTTTGCAGACACTATCCCAATGAGGAATAAATGGAACTGTTGAAAATTCCTGGAGTTTGGTTTGGAATGAGTCTGAGCAGCAGGGTGCTGGTGGTTTCCCAGGGCTAACTTGGCCCCCGCATTTTCCTTCCGAGCCCTAACCATAGGACTGTCAGAGCACCCTCCTGCTGCAGTCTGATACAACACTTCCCCCACACACATCTTGGCTGTCACAAGCCCCAAAACACAAACAATAAAAACTAGCAGCACACTCTTAAGAACACATCTCAATACAGTGTGTGCACTACACTGCCAAACCATCACTGCACACACACACACACACACACACACACACACACACACACACACACACACACACACACACACACACACACACACACACACACACACACACACACACACACACACACACTTTTTAAATCAAGAGTGGTGGTGTACCACTAACCATATAGAATTTGCGGTGTCTCTCTGTCTTCCTTCCTTCCAGCTGTTCCTCTCCTCTCATCGGCCATTATTTGTTTCTTTTCTTTTCTTGTACTTCCATTTCTTAATTCTCCCAGCTGTGTAGCTATATTGTAATTGACCAAAAGTATGTCCTCCTGTTGGCAACATAGACTGAACTTCCCCACCTCTTGTCCACACTGCACAGTTGATGATGTACAATCTTATTATGTCTTGATTGTTAAGAGGCTAATGACCTGAATAATGAACAACATTTATGGATTGTTCTTTTGTTCCTCTCCACAGATGTGAATGAGTGTGAGCTTCTGAGCAGTGTGTGTGGAGAGGCCCAGTGTAAGAACACTGACGGATCCTTCCACTGCGAGTGTCCCAGCGGACAGGACTACAACGTGATGATCGCCAAGTGTGAGCCCGTTCCCACAGGTGACCCCCCCTCCACTGTAGTACAAATTAACCTGCAGACATCAGAGTTTATAGCGGTTTTGAATACTGACTTTGAATACTTTTTGTAATACTATTGATAGCCAATTCATTTAGTTCTTATTCTGGAGCTTGCTACTGAGTTCTTGACTTGTGTACAGTATGTATAATGCTTCATACACACAAGCAACATAATCAAGTTATTTATAAATGTAAGGTTATTAACCTCCTGACTACAAACACTACCAGTGTTGGAAAAAGTACTCTGTTAATTAAATAAAAGTACAAATACTATCATCTTAAAGTTAAAGTCCTGATTTCAAAATGTTACACAGGTAAAGGAACAAAAGTACTAGCATCAAAATGTGCTTAAAGTACAAAAAGTAAAAGCACTCAGTATGCAGAATGGATCTTTTCACAGTAGGGTATTATTATGGTTAATATAATGTTGTGTTCTAGATCATCCAAATACAATGTAGATTCGTTGTGGAGTAGAAGTATAAAGTATAAATAAATGGAAATACTCAAGTAAAGTACAAATACTTCAAACAGTACTTAAGTAAATACTTCAATAAATGTACTTAGTTCCTTTCCACCACTGAACACAACTGTTGCTTGTAGTGGTGATAGGATTAGCAGTATCTAGTCGATCTTGTCGATCATGTCGATCTCGTCAATACTCCCTACGCTGGAAGGGGGAATCTCTATCCTCAAACCAGGAAAGGCAATTGGACTGGATACTATCACAACGGAACAGATCAAGCACTTCGGTCACAAGGCAAAGACGTGGCTCCTACAGCTCTACAATGAGTGCTTAACAACACACAAGCTTCCTAACATCTGGAAGAAAGCCCACATTATAGCACTGCTGAAACCTGGGAAAGAACCATCCGCTCCCAAGAACTTCAGACCAATCTCACTTTTGAGCCACACCTACAAACTCTTTGAATGTCTGATCCTCAACATAATTGGTGCCTTTGTTGACGAACACCTCATCCCTGAACAAGCAGGTTTCCGCCCTGGCAAGTCGACAACTAGCCAAGTACTCAACCTCACCCAGTACATCGAAGACGGATATGAGGAAGGGATGGTAACTGGTGCGGTGTATGTCAACCTCTCAGCTGCCTATGACACAGTCAACCATAGACGTCTCCTCAGTAAGATCCTGGAGACCACAAGAGACACCCGCCTGACAGAGCTGATTGAAAGCATGCTTGAAAATAGGCACTTCTTCGTTGAGCTAGGAGGAAAGAAAAGCAGGTGGCGAAGACTCAGGAATGGCCTCCCACAGGGAAGTGTGCTTGCACCACTTCTCTTTAACATCTACACCAACGACCAACCAAAAAGTGTAGACACCCGCCGCTTCATCTATGCAGACGATCTTGGCATAGGTACACAAGCCACTGTTTTCAAAACTGTGGAAGACAGACTCTCTAACGCTCTGGCAGAGCTAACACCTTACTATGAAGAGAACCACCTACGTGCAAACCCATCTAAGACACAGGTGTGTACCTTCCACCTGAGAAACCGTGAAGCCAAGCGCCAACTGAAGGTCAGCTGGTCAGGAACCTCCCTTGAACACTGTGAGCACCCAGTCTACCTAGGGGTAACCCTGGACAGATGCCTCTCTTTTAAGACCCACACTGAGAAGACTAAGTGCAAAGTGAGTGCGAGGAATAACATCATCCGCAAGCTCACCGGCACGACCTGGGGTGCAAACCCACAGACTCTGAAGTCAACCGCACTAGCCCTCTGCTACTCAGCTGCCGAGTATGCCTGCCCAGTATGGGAACGAGCTGCCCATGCCAAGAAGAGGCATTAATGAGAAGGGACAGCAATGTGTTCAGCTGTGGCTGAACCACATCTAACCAAGCCCTGTAACTGACTGCCTTGTGGACACGATAAGAAACTGAACACAACTAAACACTACTACCTTTTTAATTAATTGAATACATCTTATAATGAACAATGAAATGCACCTTGCACTATTTTTATTCTTATTATTCTTATTATTCTTATTTTTATGTCTTGTAATTGCATTGTTGAGTAACCTGTGACCCACGTTTTTCATTCATTACACAACTACACAAATTCTAAAATGTGTATATTAATTTCCACATTATATTTACAAAGAACCGAAGACAATCTGATTTTAAAAAACAATGATATGTTCTAAGCAAACACCCACATTTGTACCTGACTTGAAAAGGGACCATGATTTCATTTGAGATGGAACCATTACAGTAATAATAAAACGAATAAACGGACCATGAATGACAGCTGAACCCTGAAGTCAGTTTCAGTTTAGTGAATTATTCAGGAAATGGGAACTGAACAGACCCCAGTTCTGAAAAATATGACATTTAAATAAAATGTGTTTGATACTCATCCCTTTATCTTGTCTCCCTTCTCCCCCTCTCTTCCTCTCTCCCCCCCCCCTCAGTTTCCTCAGTGGAGCGTAAGGAGTGCTACTACCGTCTGAACGATGAGAATCTGTGTGAGAGCGTGCTGACCAGCCACGTCACCCTGCAGGAGTGCTGTTGCACCCTGGGAGCTGGGTGGGGGGACAACTGCGAGGTGCACCCCTGTCCTGTCAATGGCACAGGTGAGGAGGAGGAGGAGGAGGAGGAGGAGGAGGAGGAGGAGGAGGAGGAGGAGGAGGAGGAGGAGGAGGAGGAGGAGGAGGAGGAGGAGGAGGAGGAGGAGGAGGAGGAGGAGGAGGAGGAGGAGGAGGAGGAGGAGCACTTTACTCCATACACCTTTTTTTCAGTCACACAGTTTACCATTTTGTAGCTTGTGACCAAAACCACACCCTGAAGTACCTACTGTATAGCACAGTCCTGTTCATGTGTGGATAAATGCTGTATTTGTTCAAGGATTTGACACAAGTCTGGAAGTGTTGAGTTAAAAACTAGCCTAAAGATTGTCTACAGCTGTGGTCCGAGTCTAAGATGTCCACGTCAATTCTGGCGTTTCTGGTTTAGGCGTTAGTCGGAGCGGAGTAGCAGTAACAGCGGAAAAGCTTTGCTTTAAAGGTTTGCAGACACACACACCACAGTGCCTGCCGGAATCTTAACCTCTGAACCTCCATGTCTGTCCCCTCACAGACCAGTTCAATCAGATGTGTCCGTCTGGAAGAGGTCTTATTCCCAATGGAGACTTATTGTATGGGGTACCCACAGCTGGCAGCTACAAAGGTAAGGCTGAACGTCTTTTAGACAACTCAACATCATCCATCACACAGCATCATTTGAGTCCAGCAGGAAGCAACACAACTGGATGTGCCCATTTAGAGTCTGATTATATATCAACTGCTTATTGCATATTAAAATGATATCAGCATCATGTGTACGTCTGATAATGCTTTTTGAGTGCATTTATAAAATACCCTGTCCATGGGTGTGTGTTGGTCACAATTCTTAAGAAGATAAATGGAACTACCACAGAATACATTTGGAGTAATTTTCCAGGTGTTTATCTATTGCACTGTTCCAAAAGTGGAAGATGCATTCATGAAACGTTACGTCCCAGATGTTTAGTTGAAGTATGACGTTTTGGATTCAATCATTCAAACTTTGTTTGTATTGACCTTTCATACAAGTTCAGTTCACTGAACAGTCAGCAGTAATAGGGGTCTATTTCAGAACCTTTACAAGGGTCTTCATGCACTCTGTAACTGTTTCTCTTCTCTCCACAGAGGCCTCCATGCTCAGGGGCCCATTCTTTTTTATGATACTGATTTGTAAACAAAACATCTAATGCTACTCCATCAAGAGTATTGTTTTTTAGAATGTATATAAAATGAAGCATTGCAAACAGGGGTGTCACCAGGGGGTAGCTTGGAGTTGCTATAGCAACTCCTGCAATTGGCCTAGCAACGGCTTAGCAACCCCATTGTTTTGTTATGAAAATGTATCTATATATATTTATACACATTCTCGCGAGATCTATCAGGGGTCGTTGTAAGTTAAAGCGCAAACTGTTACTTGGCTAATGTTGTTATAATTCTCAGTATGTGAACACAGATCGAAAATGGAAAGATTTCTCACAAGTCAGCGTAAACGACCGCGATCTGTGTGTGTGTGCGTGCGTGCGTGCGTGCGTGCGTCTGTTTGCGGTGTGGTGATGAGGTTCAATGCCACAGCATGCCAGTTGAAACAGTGAACGATCGCTATTGTGTACTTGTACGCTTAGGGTGTAATGGTATTATACAAAAATATTGTAGAAGCACAGAAACAGTGTTCAAATTCTGCTTTTACAAACTTATTTTGGTTGTGCTTACCTTACAAATTAATGTTATAAGTGTCAAAGGAATCTTTTAATGTAAATATTAATGATAATATTGTAGCGTGTCCAAGTTAATAGTTATGTCAGTTATCAGATGTGCACAGTTTAGTACATTTGTAAAGTTATTTAGGCAATGTTGATGGTGGGAGTTATGGAGAGACCGCCCCTTCCAGGTGTGTGTGGAAGGAGTACGAGACGGTAGGAGTTGTGTTCGAGTGTGGGGAAAAGTCATAATGAGTGTGATACTATTGATTGGTTCTGTAAGGCGTGGCTGTGGCCGTCAATACCAGACAATAAAGAGAACGTTTTCGACATTGAAGGCTCGTGATCTGTGATTTTGAATAGCGGTGAACGCTACAATATGAACAGGCTCGTGCTTGGCCCACTGGTATTGTTTGTTTATTTATTTTGAAAATTAACTAGCAACGGCGTGCTGTCATATAGCAACTGCTAAGCTACTGCAGCAAAAAAATCCTGGCGCCGCCCATGATTGCAAAGTGTATAGATGTATCTAACAGGAAATGTCTTAAACCCCAATTGTACAGCATATACATATTAAAACGATTCCAGCTTGTTGTTGGAAAAGCTGTTGTGAAGGCACAACATTCACTGATCATGGATTGATGTGAGGGTATCCTAGGATGCATTTCATATCAGGTTAAAATAATCAAATCCATACAGCAGTGAGACCTGAGAATATCCAGTCCTGTAACTCTGTATTCAGATATATTGAAAGACAAGAGAAGATTGAATCTGATTCTAACAGTTAGCAGCACAGAGACAGGGCTGGTCGAAACATTCAACACAAACACTGAAACATGTTCCCTGTGAAACCCTAATGAACCTAGGTCACAATGTTTCAGGAGTTATATACATGTACTATTACAAACTTTGTGTTGGTATCCTCTCCATGAACTTACATGAGGATGATGATATTATGTTCCCATATCCGTATGCTAACGCTACATGAATGCTACATGCACAGCACAGTTACTCCTGGCTCTCGGTCATTAATTCTGCGAACGTGTTTCCTGTCTTTGTTTCAGACGCAGATGAGTGTGCGCTGTTCGGCCAGGAGGTGTGTAAAGGAGGCTTCTGTTTGGACACGGTGGGCAGCTATGAGTGTTACTGCAAGACCGGACAGGACTACGACCCTGCCAGACTGGAGTGCAGAGGTCAGCCTAATACAGCGTTACACAAACCCAGAGTGTGTCTGCATGCATGTGTGTGTATATTGGTGTGAGAGTTAGAAGTTCACTCCATTGCCTGTTGCATTCAATCAAAAATAAGCAGAAAGACCAGACTATACAGTGGGGCAAAAAAGTATTTAGTCAGCCACCAATTGTGCAAGTTCTCCCACTTAAAAAGATGAGAGGCCTGTAATTGTCATCCTACTGTAGGTATACCTCACCTATGAGAGACAGAATTAGAAAATAAATCCAGAAAATCACATTGTCTGATTTTTAAAGAATTTATTTGCAAATGATGGTGGAAAATAAGTATTTGGTCAATAACAAAAGTTCATCTCAATACTTTGTTATATACCCTTTGTTGGCAATGACAGAGGTCAAACATTTTCTGTAAGTCTTCACAAGGTTTTCACACACTGTTGCTGGTATTTTGGCCCATTCCTCCATGCAGATCTCCTCTAGAGCAGTGATGTTTTGGGGCTATCGCTGGGCAACACAGACTTTCAACTCCCTCCAAAGATTTTCTATGGGGTTGAGATCTGGAGACTGGTTCGTTGCCCGGGCGGTGTGTTTGGGATCATTGTCATGCTGAAAGACCCAGCCACGTTTCATCTTCAATGCCCTTGCTGATGGAAGGAGGTTGTCACTCAAAATCTCACGATACATGGCCCCATTCATTCTTTCCTTTACACCAGGGGTAGCCAACACGGTGCCCGCGGGCACTTAGTCGCCCGCAGGGGCAACGTGAGTCGCCCGCCGGGCATGTTCTAAAAATAGCTCGCCAAGCAAATCCAAATAGTATAAAATACACAAAACAAAAAAGGAAATTTAATTAAAAGAATCTACCCTATGCATAAACGAAACCTACATCATAGCGAACTCTATCTACTTACTACAACTCTATATCTATCTAACACCCCTCCTCCCCCCACCCCCACAATGAATATCGACCAATCACGTTCTTGCTTGATTTGCGGGACCAGCGTTGCAGTCGGGAAGAAAAGCAATGTGGAGCGGCAGCTCACCGCTTCATAAGGAGTGTGACCTTTCCTTCTGGCAGAATCTACACAACACATCAGCCCCATTGAACAGCCTAGTCGTGCCAGCCTATACAGCACATGAGGGCCAGAGCTTTACTCTGTGTGTATTGCAACTTGCTTATATGTTTATTGCACTTGACCCACACACATGCATGGCGTAATTTCCACTGGGGACAGGGGGGACATGTCACTTTTCGAAATCCCGTTTGTGTCCCCCCACTTTACAAATATGTTTATTATTGTTTTTAACGCAAGCCGTCATCGCCACGGAGGAGCACACAGCCTCTGTGAGAGAAGAGAGAGAGAGAGAGAGAGAGAGAGAGAGAGAGAGAGAGAGAGAGAGAGAGAGAGAGAGAGAGAGAGAGAGAGAGAGAGAGAGAGAGAGAGAGAGAGAGAGAGAAGAGAGAGAGAGAGAGAGAGAGAGAGAGAGAGAGAGAGCTATGGAGAGCACACCATTATCTATTTAATATAGATAAAGTAAGAAATCATTCTAATGTGTATAGGACAGTAAAAAAAACTAAAAACTGTTTAAAAGGAGAGTGATTAGTAAAATATGCATAAATAGAAAGAAAGAATGCTAACTAGGTAACATAAGATAAGAATAAACCAGTTTAAATGATTTGTTATTGGTTGTGATCATATTCTAAAGATGATTGGATTATTGAAAAGTATACATCTCCCTTTCATCTGAGTGTTGAGAGCTGTATCCATAAATTCATGTTGTGCTCAAAGTGCACCAGATTTTCCACCCCCATGTTTCACAGTAGGTATGGTGTTCTTTGGATGCAACTCAGCATTCTTTCTCCTCCAAACACGTCTAGTTGAGTTTTTACCAAAAAGTTCTATTTTGGTTTCATCTGACCATATGACATTCTCCCAATCCTCTTCTGGATCATCTAAATGCTCTCTAGCAAACTTCAGACGGGCCTGGACATGTATTGGCTTAAGCAGGGGGACACGTCTGGCACTGCAGGATTTGAGTCCCTGGCGGCGTAGTGTGTTACTGATGGTAGCCTTTGTTACTTTTGTCCCAGCTCTCTGCAGGTCATTGACTAGGTCCCCCCGTGTGGTTCTGGGATTTTTGCTCACCGTTCTTGTGATCATTTTGACCCCACGGGGTGAGATCTTGCGTGGAGCCAAAGATCGAGGGAGATTATCAGTGGTCTTGTATGTCTTAAATTTTCTAATAATTGCTCCCACAGTTGATTTCTTCACACCAAGCTGCTTACCTATTGCAGATTCAGTCTTCCCAGCCTGGTGCAGGTCTACAATTTTGTTTCTGGTGTCCTTTGACAGCTCTTTGGTCTTGGCCATAGTGGAGTTTGGAGTGTGACTGTTTGAGGTTGTGGACAGGTGTCTTTTATACTGATAACGAGTTCAAACAAGTGCCATTAATACAGTTAACGAAGTGGAGGACAGAGGAGGCTCTTAAAGAAGAAGTTACAGGTCTGTGAGAGCTAGAAATCTTGTTTGTTTGTAGGTGACCAAATACTTATTTTACCGAGGAATTTACCAATTCATTCATTAAAAATCCTACAATGTGATTTCCTGGATTCTTTCCCCCCATTCTGTCTCTCATAGTTGAAGTGTACCCAGGATGAAAATTACAGGCCTTTCTCATCTTTTTAAGTGGGAGAACTTGCACAATTGGTGGCTGACTAAATACTTTTTTGCCCCACTGTATAGCACCGTATCTATGTTCCACTCACTTGAACCAGGAGGAACGCACATCTACTTTTAAAGTGTCAAAAACTGTGGGTCAAATATCTAAGAAAAAAAAAATTAGAATATGATTTATATTTGAGATTCTTCAGAGTAGCGCTGTTTTGCCTTGATGACAGCTTTGCACACTCTTGGCTTCTCTCAGTCAGCTTCATGAGGTCGTCACCTGGAATGGTTTTCTATGAACACGTGTGCTTTGTCAAGAGTCCATTAGTGGAATGACTTGCCTTCTGAATGTGTTTGAGACCATCAGTTGTGTTGTGCAGAGGTAGAGTTAGTTCACAGTGGAAAGCCCTATTTGACTACTGTTGTAATCCATATTATGGCAAGAACCCGTCCATCATCACTTTAAGAAATGAAGGCCAGTCGATCCGGAAAATGTCAAGAACTTTGAATGTATCCTCAAGTGCAGTCGCAAAAACCATCGAACGCTATGATGAAACTGGCTCTCATGAGGACCCCCCCCCCCCCCCCCGGGAAAGGAAGAGCAAGAGTTACCTCTGCTGCAGAGGATAAATACAGAAGAGTTACCAGCCTCAGAAAGCACACATTAAAGCACCTCAGCCTAGAGCCCACATCAATGATCACAGAGCTCAAGTAGCAGACAAATCTCAACATCCACTGTTCAGAGGAGACTGCGTGAATCAGGCCTTCATGGTCCAATCGCTGCAAAGGTCCACTACTGAGGATGGACAACAAGAAGAAGAGTTTGGGCCAAGAAACACAAAGAATGGACATTAGATCAGTGGAAATCTGTACTTTGGTCTGATGAGTCCAAATTTGAGATTTTTGGTTGCAACCGCCGTGTCTTTGTCAGACGCAGAGAAGGTGAGTGGATGGCATGTGTGGTTCCCCCCATGAAGCATGGAGGAAGAAGTGTGTGGGGGGGGGGCTTTGCTGGTGAATCTGTGCATGGCTACCACAGCATTCTGCAGTAGCGGCTACTTTGAAGAATCTAAATTATAAATCATATTCTGGGTTTTTTTAACACTTTTTTGTTAACTAGATTATTCCATATGTGTTCTTTTATAGTTTTGATGTCTTCAGTATAAATCTACAATATAGAAAACATTTAAATAATTAAAAAACTTTGAATGAGAAGGTGTGTACAAACGTTTGACTGGTATTGTATACAAAATGACTTGGACGTCCACACCAAAAACAATATTATAAATACAGTCAGCAAAATGTGTTGTTTATTCACCTGTCTGGTTTACAGCCACCCTTAGAGTCATCCAAGATGTAGTGGCTTATATATATGTTAAGCCCCTCACCCTAGTCCAGCTAACAGTTACAAAATAAATAACCTCACATTTTACATAACCTGAGCTTTTAAGGCCATGTATTACAGTAACCAAACACAGCACCACCGGAGTCACCATATCCCAGTCAAATTCTGAAAATAAGATGACATACCTAGGATCCAGGTACACATGGTGTCTTCCATCCTCAGCACACCTGCACTCTGCTGCTTCAGACTTTATACAAGCTAATTCAGGAGCTGTGTATCAGATCCAAGCACATGTGCCCAGTGTCTTCTACACAATGTGCTATCCGTTAACTTTGTCACAAAGTACATATTAAGTTGTTTGCTGCAAAGCTATAAAAAAAAAAGGGTTCAAGCTACCTTGTAAACATTTTAGTCCTGGCCCAAGGGAAGATAAGATGAGATATTGATCCCCTTAGGGAAATGCAGGTGTCATAGCAGCAACAGAATAAGAAAGAAACACAGATAGCGCACATGGAATACATGTGCATAACAAGAATAATAGAAGTATAATAGAAATACAAAAATGACATGAGTTAAACTCTGATCCGGTGAATGTACATACAGATATGTGAGCAGGGTTAAATATATATAAACATTTAAATGTGCAGGTAGGAACTTTGAAAAGTATCAGTGCGCATAAAAGCTCAACGCAAACAGCTATGAAGGAGAGAAAATATGTGAAAACATTGCTGCAAATAATGCCTAGCATTTAGTTTATACACATATGGCAGCAATGTTACACAGATCTATCTCCTTTTGTAACCCTCAACCTGAAAACATTCACATAGCATTTGGAAGGTTCAACTTTTAATTTACAGAAACTACAAACATCCTGCACTGTGTATACGTATGATGAGTGAGATTGAGAAAGTCTTGAGTTGAAGCACTTGGAGTTTGGCTGGGCATTTGAACTCATAGTTTGAGAAAAAAAACTCTTATTGTGGAGTGTTTTTCTGTAATAACTCAGTCTTTCATGATCAGTCATAGATCAGCAGTCAGGTGAACCCTGCTATGTCTGTACTCAGATATCAACACAACTCCTTCAAAGTAAATGGAGAACATGATTCATTGTGTTATATTTCATAGTGTGCCTTTGCTGTTTTCAGCGATGTTAAGCTGATTTTGTGAGCTAGCATTTTCTGAAGGAGTGGGAATTGAATTGGTTGGCAAGTTGTATGTGTGTGTGATGTGCCATCCGACCTCTGCAGCTCATCCAGAATGCAGCGGCTCGTCTGGTCTTCAACCTTCCAAAATGTTCCCACACCACGCCGCTACTCCGCTCCCTTCACAGGCTTCCAGTAACTGCTAGAATCCACTTCAAGACACTGGCGTACCATGCTGCGAATGGATCTGGCCCTTCCTACATCCAGGACATGGTTAAACCGTACACCCCAGCACGTGCACTCCGCTCTGCATCAGGCAAACGGCTTGCTGCACCCGCACTGCGAGGGGGACCCAAGTTCCCATCAGCAAAAACAAGTGGGTTTGCTATCCTGGCTCCAAAATGGTGGAATGAGCTCCCCATTGACATCAGGACAGCAGAAAGCTTACACACCTTCCGGCGCAAACTGAAAACTCATCTCTTTCGACTCCACCTCGAGCGATAGAATTACTAACAAAGCACTTATATACTAATAAAGGACTGGCTTATCTAAAGCCAGTTGAGTAGCACTTGAAATGTTTTTGCTCTATGAAACCTGATGTACTTTATGATTCTGTTTTCTTCTAGTTTGTATCTTGTTGGTCGAACGCACTTATTGTAAGTCGCTTTGGAAAAAAGCGTCAGCTAAATGCAATGTAATGTGTGTTTCAAGGTTTCAAGGTTTTTATTTGTCATACGAACATAGCTACAGTTATTACGATGAAAATCTTAGGTCACAGGCTCACTGTGTGTGTGTGTGTGTTTCCATTAACTGTGTGTGTTTGCTGTTCTGTCCGGCAGACATCGATGAGTGTCAGGATGAGTCGGTGTGTGCTGGTGGAGAGTGTATGAACACAGACGGCTCATACATGTGTTTCTGTACACACCCCATGGTGCTGGACCCCAACTCCAACCGCTGCGTCTTCCCCCCTGAGGAGGCTGGTAAGAAAGTATCCTATTACATTATAACACAAAATGATTCTAAATGTCCCTCTAAAATATTCTCGAATTTGTAAAACATTTTTTTAAATGTTTGTAATATGTTTGTTTGAGTGAATCGCTTTTATCCAAAGCGATTTACAATAATTGCATTCAACCATGAAGAACCAAACTCATAACAGACTGTGGAAGATGTGTAGACTTCCTGTTGTCCTGATATCAAATGCTCGTTCCACCATTTTGGAACCCGGATAGCAAACAGGCGTGTTTATATTGAGAGTTACCTGGGTCCCACTCACAGTGAGGGAGAAGCGAGCCGATTGGCTGATGTAGAACGACGTGCACATGCTCGAGTGTATGATTTATGATTGTTTAAAACCATATCATGTCTCTGCAGAGGAACAGGAGGCGGCCCAGCTGGTAGACTACCATGGTGGAGTGTGCTGGCAGGCGGTGACAGAGTCCATGACGTGCACGCGCCCGCTGGCTCCACACATCGATACCACATACACAGAGTGCTGCTGTCTGCACGGGGAGGCCTGGGGCATGGACTGTGCCCTGTGCCCCCCCAGAGACACAGGTACACACACCGGAGGGATCCTATACACCTATTGTCTTATTTCACAGCTACTTGCTACTTGTTCCCTGTAGTATTTACTTCCTGTCTCTCTTCTTCTGCTGTTCCCTTTAGTATTTACTTCCTGTCTGTCTTTTTCTGCTCTTCCCTTTAGTGTTTACTTCCTGTCTCTCTTCTTCTGCTCTTTCCTTTAGTATTAACTTCCTGATGGTATTCTTCTGCTGTTCCCTTTACTGTTTACTTCCTGTCTGTCTTCTTCTACTGATTTTATCTGTTGTACAGCTCTCTGTGTCTTTAACCTCCTGCCTTCTCTTGTTCTTTTTTCTTTCCTTTATTTGTGACCATCATATATCCAGAATTGTGTGCACTCCTCAAATATAAAAAACAAGTTTTCTGATAAAGGAAAAATAATGTGTTTTTTTGGGCCACAGTTAACATTAAATTGACCGACTTATTTCTTTATAATGATGTGACTGCACACAGTCCCTTGATCAGAGCTACCTTAGTAACCGTCTGCTGTTGAGACAGAGCAGACTGACCAAGCTGAACATAATAATCAAGTATTCACCATAATATGTTTCTGTGTTTTACATTCTGTCGTACCATTTGTATTGGATGGGCAGAACTTTCTCATGTAAAATGTTTCTTCAACATTTAATGTCCCTACATATTGCATTACTCCATTATAATTATATGTTATCTTATTCATAAAACGCCATATCATAACAGGAGTTCAGTCAGACAACTCACGTGTTCCTTTAACATGTTTATTAGAAGCAGCATATAGTTGAGTTTGGCGACTAGGTTCGGGCCTCATCACTCCATAGATATACATAGCACGATGAGTGATGATCAAATAACTAACCCCCGAGCCTACAGGTGGAAGCTGGGGTGGAAGCTGGGGTGGTGGTGGGGCAGCAAGCAGCAGCGACGTAGAGGTAGCTGCAGCAATAGCAGCAGCAAGCAATGCATGGAGAGAGATCTGGCAGGTTAAATAGAGCGGCCTATTAAGGAGACTCTGTTTGGTTGGTTGTAGAGTGGCAAGGGGCGTTATGTATGAATGCAGCATAAGTGCTCGAGTTGACTGCCTGAACTAGCTCGCAGGCTTCGCCTCATTTCAGTCAGACAACTCACGTGTTCCTTTAACATGTTTATTAGAAGCAGCATGTAGTTGAGTTTGGCGATTAGGCTCGGGCATCATCACTCCATAGATATACATAGCACGATGAGTGATGATTAAATAACTAACCCCCAAAACTGCGTGGAGATTAGATACTATCCCCCAAAACTGTGTAGCCCGAGCCTGACGCTGGTGATGTAAGACTGATAAGTAGAGGGCCTGGCGAGCTGCCATGTGGCCATTCCCCCTAAGCACAGCGGCTTTAAGGGGAATATACTACTAAGTGAGACTGCTATGTGAAGGCCCGGGAACAGCCCGAAAAGCCGTCCCCCTTAAGCACCACGGCTTTGAGGGGAATATACTACCTAGTGACTGCTATGTGAAGGCCCGGGAACAGCCCGAAAAGCCATCCCCCTTAAGCACCGCGGCTTTAAGGGGAATATACTACCCAGTGACTGCTATGTGAAGGCCCGGGAACAGCCCGAAAAGCCATTCCCCTTAAAGAGCCTGTGACATGGGTTTCCCCCATCATCCAAACCCATCAATTTGAGTAAATATTGTCCCCTTGAAAACCGTTACTGAACTGATTTTGGATATTTGTACTTTGATAACCATTAATCTGCCCTTCAATGTTGACCATTTCCTGGATCTTCTCGGGGATTCTTCAAGTCCCGCCAAATTATGTGTGACGTCATTACGGGCACAGCGCTCCAGCTGCACCGTTCAGGATCCCAGCATCTGCATGTAAACGCACGATGGTGCACACAGCAGCAAGCTCAGACAGCGATGACAGTTTCATTTTGAACGTGTCTGAGAGCTCATATGAGGCTGAAGGATCGGTTTATGTTGTATCTGTTAGAAGTTTAGGAATTAGGTGCGTCAATATGGCCGATCATACGGTCATGTAGCCAGTGGTGGAATGGGCCTAAAAATCATCCCGGGACTCTCGACCGGCCCACTTCGGTACCGCTAGTAAATTGTCAACGGGGGGAGTGGGGGATGTCAGGGGCGGCGGGTGCTGTAGATAGTAAATGTAAATATGTAAATATTTGTGTCACTGCATCCTGGTAAAATACAAATATAATGCAATGTCTGTGTCTTTGACATTAGCGCTGCCAGCCACCTGTGCCCTGTACTACGAAGCCAGTTCAACAGACCCTGGATATGTTTGAGTAACAAACAAACTAACAACAACAAACTAACAAACGAGATCTCGCTAAGCGGTCCTACGACGCTGGTTATCAACTCGGTAAATCAAGCCAGGGTTTCTCTCTCCAGCTGAGAGCGCGTTCACGTCTAAGACACGAGTGGATCTGACTTTAATTACATTTGACTCGAGTGTTTCGTCAACATAATGTGTTGCTAAAAATAATACTTCTGCATACAGTATGTGACACTGTAAGTGTTGCACGGCCAGACACGGCAGATAAGGAAATATATGATATATTATGATATTATATGATCGATGATCTGATTGATGATGTAATATGAATGATAAGTGCGACACGTCGGCGTCTTCTCTGCATACGGCAGTTTAAACTGTATTTCCTTTAGCCTGTAATATGACTTGAGAGATTTAAACTCCGCACACTGAGTTGATCTCTTTTCTATAGACGCCGGAGGCGTAAAAAAAGTTATTTAGCCTTCCCAAACCTGAGCCTCACGCGCCGCCTATGGGGGATGTGCTAGTGATTTATCCGACCGGCCCACTTCGGTACCGGCCCATCGGGATTCGTCCCGATGGCCAGTCCGCGACTGCACCCAGCCCAGCCCACGTAAACTGTCAACGGGGGGAGCCTCGCTGCGGGGAAACGGTGGACCTAGTGTCCCGATCGGAGTGGGAATAATAATAATAATAATCCGTGCATTTTATCCATTAATTTCCCCAACATTGTGGTAAAAAAACCACACGTTTAATCCATGTTGGTGTACTACAACTACAAAAAGCATCGGTTTGTTTTCTCATCAGGAAATGCAGACCGGCACAAAGAAACGATTTGTAATCATCATTCTCACGATCATTTAATGTATCATATGTTCGCCGAATTGACACGAAAGCACTAATACATGTAGTTTCATCCACTTGAGTTTACAACTACAAAAATAATCGATTTGTTTTTATATCACATCCTACGGGAGGAAATTCAGCAGCTCTCACTACCGATTTTTAATCCTAATGTAATCATCATCTTCACCACGATCATTTATGTTTATGTTCGCCGAATTGACATGAAAGCACTGACAAATATGAATATACTGTAGTCAACTTCATTAAAACGTTATTAACGTGCCTAAACTCAGTAATTCACCATTTCTACGCATGACAACACACTTTGTCCGTGTTTGGCTCTCTCGCCGCACAGTGAAGCGTTCCCGCATTGACGTCACTTCCGGCTTCCCCCAAAACTTCAAAATGAGTCGTGGGAATAGCGATCTGAGGGCAGGTCGCAGCTTAGGCAGAGATCACGCAGCTTGGAGGAGAACCCTCGTCGTTGGGTTTGCAGCCATCGAATAAACATGGGTGCCGACCCATGTGTCAGAGGGGCAATGATGCGAGAAGTTCAGCATCGAAGATAAAGGACAAAGAAAACAGTGTTAGTTTTAGCAATGATTATTCGGGTTCCTTGACTCCCCAAACAGAAATGTCAGACATTGAATGTTTCAAAAAAGTGTGTATATTTGATCTCCAAAGTTAATTCAGTAAGGGAGAGATTATGCTGAGGATTAAAAGGTGAGAGGTCTGTGTATATTCGCCACCTGAGAAACCAATAGAAAGCTGTAACAACTGCATCTGACGTTTATCAATGTATAGTGAAACCCCTTTGCCTGAACTTATACATGAACCTTTGCACAGGGTGCAAAGTTAAGAGGCAGTCTTTATCATTGCTGTGGAGGACGTGCCTTCTTAAGGCCCTTGAGGAGCAAATTAATGAACTCTAGCGTGGCTTAATACTTAGCACTTGAAGATTGCAGGATTCGAATGAAAATACAATTAATGCATGAACAACTATTATATCTATTGCATAAGTACACAGAGGAGGTTGGGACAGAAGAAGATAAAGTACCAAGCTGAATTGTATGCTTTGAATCATGCTCTTGGTTGGAGGCAGAATATGGGAAATCCTTGAGTCATTTGGTTGAACGAAGGGCATGGCAAGCTGGTGGGGCAAACCACTCATTGTGAAATCCCCCGAACCAGCAGAAGGCACAGCATCTGTAAGTAACTAGAGAGGATCTGAGGACACCGCAAGGTCATTATAAAAGAATGAACATAACATTCCACTCGTCGCAGAGGGGCTAAGGACCGAAAGATCTGAGCAATAGCCATCTCTAAGATTGCATTCATGCCGAATAGTCCGCATATTTACACCAGACGCAAGTGTATTACATCGTTTCATTTGCAGAAGGTTGGGTTTGCGTTCACCCAGGCAACCTCAAACAGACTATGAACTGTAAACTAAAGTCATTGTACGGAGATGCTTTTTCAACAATTGGCGGGACATTAAGCGGATAAAATGCAGATCCCAGCAATTTCTACAGTAGCCTGCATCATGGAGCATTGGCAGGTTATTTTCATACTGCTGTTAATCTGGAGAGTGCATCAACAGACTCCGCGGCCGGCGCATAGGATTATAAATCAGACAACGTGCATTAAAAACATTATAACACATAGACGTTATGCAGTGAGGAGGTTTCACCGATGACAGGTGGCTCTGATGAGATTGTACCACTGCCTTTTCTCTGTACACAGGGGACCAGTGAGGTAAGCAGTCACCAGAATGAATGCATGACCCTATAGGTTACTGGATGTTGCACACAGCATAGATAGCAAAACAAGCGATGACGCGCAAATAGTTGTTTCCCATGTTTTGATGCGGACTGCGTCACACCAGCAATGAACCTCTCTGGAGTTTACTAGCGAGCGACCCGAGACCACCTCTTTTAGGCGGAGCAGAGTTATCGGACTGCTTCCACACCAATCCAACGAACCGCATCAAGGGGTTAACGCTACAGGGGTTAACGCTACAGGGGTTAGTACTAACCAAGCAGGTGTGAACGTGACCTAAGACTATGGTGCCTTAAGGTTTGGACAGAAAGGCTAGCGCTTGTTCCTTATAAATATAAAACATCTCTTTTAGAGAGACTACGAGTGGGAGACCATAATTGAAGGCAGTAATCAGTATTGAATGTATTACAAGTCTAATATGTAGTATAACGTAGAGCACTTTGAACATTTGGAAAGGCGCTAAATAAATAACATTAATTGTAATGATGGCTGTTCTGATGCGGGACAGCTTGTCTGGTGGCAGTGAAGCTTGCATCAGCACACTATCGAGAATGATACCGATAATTCTAGACGTGTGGAAGGGCTTCCAGTTCCTGTTCTGAAAGAGGTAGGCCTAGCTGTTGAAAAGTTTTATCTGGGAAAGTTAACAACTAGGAAATGGTTAAAAGATGGACACCAAGGGGTGCTTACAGGTGTTGCAGAGAATCCAGCATAATGCTTCTGATGAGGTGTCAAAGAAACGTGGGCTACTATGAAAACCAAATGCACATTTGATTGTAAAACCTTAAAATATATATGCCACAAAAGGCATATGAGATTTGTCTGCTTTCCCTGCCATGTCATCTACAGAGCAAAGAAACGGGAAAAATCTTTAGTAGTTCATTATACTCTTAACAGAATAATCGTGAGGAACTAACGGTTCAAGAAACGTTGCTAGAATAATTCCTCCTAGCACTAGGCTAGGGGCCTGTCGTGTTTTTAAACGTTTAAATAGCAGCACGTGTAATACTCCTGGCTCCTTCAGTGCAAACTTCAGTCTTGAGTGCAGGTTTCAACAGACATGGGTCCCTGGGAGCCAGCATAACCTGCTAAGAAACCTTGATTTAAGCCTGTGATAAGGTCATTGACAAACATCTGTGATTAGAAAGAGCTTGGAAACGATTTGCAGCATGAAGCTTCCTGAGGCACACCCAGCGAGGGGCAGATATTGCAGGGTAGAGCTTAATTCCTGTGAGGAAAAACTCTTCTTTGGTAGGTGATTAAATGTACATGGCCGCTTGGCAGAGAATAATTCATGGTATTCATAGAAAAGATACTGTAGGAGATTGAAGTCTAAAATGATGGTCAAAAATGTATCGAGTTTCCCTTCATATTCACGTGATGGAAATTATTAATTTATTTCCGTTTTTAATTTCATTGATTTATAGTAGGCCTAGTATACATACTTATACACATACAACTTCTGTATAATTGCCTCAAATATGACTTACTGCAGGCCAAATATTTCCATAATAAAACATTGCTTATGCAGAATAGTATTATATACCTGCCAAGATGCGATTCCTAAGGAATTGCTGCTGCAGGGGCAGGAAGCTAGAACTCGTGACTGGATCTGGGACTCCAATTCCCAGAATCCTCGGGAGTGTGACGTCAGTGGCACAACGTGGTTGAACGCGGAAGTAGAAACATTCGTTTACATTGCAGGTAGAGGAAATCGAGTTTGTTCACGGGAATATATCGTGCAATTAAAGGCTTCAAGCGCTGATTTTACTTCGAGAAGGTAGGACAGGATGGCAGGTACTTTGGGAATGCCGGAGTCAGCTTGCTCCTGCCTTTTTTGGCGTTTAAATACCCACCGACCGAGAGACAGTGCGACTCTTAGCTGACACACAAGAGAGGGGTTGTTACCGGAGCTGGCGTAGAACTCGGGACTTCCTCTGGCCCAAAGGATATTAAAAGTTACTCCAGATGAGGACGGAAGGGACACCTGAATGTGTGTCGTGCGGGAGCTGTGACTCGTTCCAGCGGCGTCTGAACCATGCTCTGAGCTAGCCTGTGTTTCGGGAATGAGGCATTTCTTACGGCTTCTTGCGTATGATGACGAGCTACCCACAATGCAACACGCGCCATATATATATATATAAATACGCCATTTTCCTGGAGGTGCAAATATCCTGGAAGTGCAAATATAAACAGCTAGCTAACGTAGCCAGGCAGAGCGCACTAGGTGTTTTTTCTGAATTAACGACCGAAGAAATCGCTGCATGTCTTCGGATTACATCTCTGGACTTGAGGGGTGTGCTTTAGGTCGTTACCAGCGTAAACTAGAGCTGCCTGCAGATGTATGGAAAAACGACAGTGGCCTTCGTCGATTTTGGCTGCATCTACATCTAATTTCTGGAAATACCAGGTGAATACCCCACTTGTCACAATAATATTATCATGCCATTGCATATATGTGGTATTTTAGAGTTGACTAGATATTGATTAAGGCAATAGACTATATATGTTATTCAGTACAGGAAGCTTAGCAACACCTAGACGGTGTACGGCTGCTTGCACCTCGCGTAAAACGGCGGATACCGGAAGTACGGTGTCGCCCTCGGCCCAATACCCGTATGTGTGTGTGAAAGAATTGCAATAGACATTTGCAAGGACAGCACCGGCAGGCAAGCAGCAGCAACATGAAACACAGCAGCAGGAACATGAAACACAGCAGCAGCAACATGAAACACAGCAGCAGGAACATGAATGCAGCAATAGCAAATGAACGCAGCAATAGCAAGTGAACGCAGCAATAGCAAGTGAACGCAGCAGGCAAGCAGCAGCGACGTAGAGGTAGCTGCAGCAATAGCAGCAGCAAGCAATGCATGGAGAGAGATCTGGCAGGTTAAATAGAGCGGCATATTAAGGAGACTCTGTTTGGTTGGTTGTAGAGTGGCAAGGGGGCGTTATGTATGAATGCAGCACAAGTGCTCGAGTTGACTGCCTGAACTAGCTCGCAGGCTTCGCCCCATTTCTCTCATGGCTCTTTTCGTATAAAACAGGACTAGACTGTACTCTGTAACTCCATGTAATCCTGAATTACACATATTGTACACACCAATGGAAAATAGAATTACAATTTTATGAATTCATTTTGATATCGACCACCCATCAGTCACTGTCCCTCTGGTCTCCTGGTCTCTTAATACACTTCCCCAGCTAGAAATGTTTGGTTCTAAAAACATTCTGAGAATGTTACATTCATTGTCCTCGGAATGTTTTCAGCGGCAAGTTTTCTTTTGGTTCCCAGAATGTTCTTCTGAAAGGTAGGATAACGTTCTCTAAAAACATTCTTTAAATGTTTTTGATAACATTGTTAGAACATTATGCCCTACTGTTTTTAAAATGTTTTCAGCTGCAATTTAGATTTGTTTATGTTGCCAGAATGTTATTATTTTAGAGAAGGATAACATGCTTTATGTTTAAAACATTATGCAAATGTTCTGTGGTAACAATTTACTAAAATATCTTTACATTATTAGAACATAAAGACATAATATTCCTGTAATTGTTCAACTCAAAATTCCTGGGTAAGTGGACTGACCACTGTGGTCATTAGGATGATTATGATAGTTTACTTAACTATTGGAATTTGACTATTAACACATGTAAAAGGATGACTCGGAATCAGCTGGTGAAAGTAACATTTGTTTATTAGAAAAGGGGAGCTGAACCCACTAACAGGGGTTTCAGGGACGGGCAGTGATAGTCGGTCCATTCTTCTAAATGTCTGTCTTTGGTTTTCTAAGTGTTATTCGATCCATATGACCATAGAGATATGTGCATAAACAACAAAAACACTTGGGGTATAATGTACGAACAATGTTATCACCAAACATTTTAAGAATGTTTTTAGAGAACGTTATCCTACCTTTCAGAAGAACATTCTGGGAACCAAAGTAAAACTTCTCGATGAAACCATTCCTAGAACAATGAATGGTAACATTTTAGAACCAACAATGTCTAGCTGGGAACGCAAACATGCAATATCATGAATTACGTGCTTGTTCTTTTCTCAAAACGAAAATGTGGTGACATCAGATTTCTTTTAAACATCCTTTTCAAACAAATGCAACAAGTTTGTTTTTTAAAGCGCACTACAAATAAATCTGACGTTGACCATGACCCTGTTAATATTTCGCATCACAGGAACATTTTATAAAAAAAGAATAACCTCCTGAAAACATTATCCAAATGTTGCTTTTAAAATGTTCTTCTTTGGTTATCATGTAACATTGAGGGAACGTTTTATAAAGAACATCTTTAATGTGTTACCCAACAACGTCCACAACACATCCTTAGAATGTTGCAGGCAAAACGTTCCACCTTTGTTAACATATCACATTAAAGGAACGTTTTATAAAGAACATCTTTAATGTGTTACCCAACAACGTCCAAAACACATCCTTAGAATGTTGCAAGGAAAACGTTCCACCTTTGTTAACATATCACATTAAAGGAACGTTTTATAAATAAACTTTCTGTCATCTCAGGCCTCAATAACATCCTGAAAACATCCTCAGTTAAAACGTTATGTCTTAGTTAACCTTAAACCTTATAGGAACATTATTTGAAAAAATAAACATCCTAAAAAGGTTCTTTGAACATCAGATTAAAACGTTTCTTTAAAACCTTATTAGAACTTGTAGGTAACGTTAGCCAAAGTTGTGAGAATGTTCCCCCGCTAGCTGAGTCACCACCTATTCCTTAGATGATCCATAGCTGCATAGTAAAATAGAGAATACATACAGTAGTCTACAAGTGTTAAAATATGTTTGTCTTTTGTCTCTTAGAGGATTATGCGTCCATGTGTAACCTCGGCTGGCGGCGGGCGTACGGTCGCGATGCGCTTGTTGCCGGCCCGACCCATGAATATGAAGTGGACACTGACTACTCCCCATCCCCTGAGCAGGAGGGGGCCCTGCCTTTTTACGAGAACGAGGAACGTGAGTATGTTTTTGTGTGCATCCTTTACAGTTACTATGTTGCACGGAAACACAGGATTGTTTTTATTCTGATTCTTCTTACATTAGGCAAGGCAAGTTTATTTATATAGCACCTTTCAACACAAGGCAATTGAAAGTTCTTTACAAAAATAAAAGGCATTAAGAAATAGTGCAGCGGAAACACGGTATAAAATGACATTTAAAAACTGTAATTATAAAGCGTTCGACGAACACTATGCTCTATATACTAGACTTTAATCAGGCCTTCACAAAGGTATTGCCAGCTATGTGCCCAAGATACACAACACATTTAAACGATAAGATAATATATACTTGCGTATAATGTGTTCGTCACAGCTGCATAAAAACAAGGCATTGCACATAATTACAAATAAAAAAGAGTAGAAAATAAATATAAACATCTCAAAGAAGAAACAAATATATATATATATATATATATATACAAGTTGACCGTAAAGATACAAATCTGTAAACTATCTGACAGATAAACACTATGAACGGCCAATTTACAGCTAACACAATATAAAAGTAAGATATTATTTACATTTAGTGTGCAAGGAATGGCATATTAATTAAACATAACATTTTGTAAAATGATAAGTCCAGTGAACCAAAGAGAAGCTATGGAGCAGAGAGTTCTCTTCCAGCCAGAGTTGATTTGTTGTACAGAGTTATTGCAGTGGGCAGGAATGTTTCCTGTATCTGTCCTTGTGACAGCGGAGCTGGAGCAGTCTAAGGAGCTCCTGCCTGTCAGCTGCTGGCTGGTCGTAGTTATCCATGATTGACAACAGTTATTATTATTATTTTTCGAAGTAGCCACAAAGTTTATTTGATTTAGTTTGTAAAGGCTCACGAAGATTATCTTAAAAAAAACACCACTGTTACTTTTGTATTGAAATGTTGGTTTTGTTGGTTTTCACCAAACATCTGAAGCCTGAAAACACAGAGATAGATAGATCGATATTTAACAGCGCTTTGCTGCCATCCTATGTTCATAAAAAGAATGAAATGTTAGAATGAGCTTCTTTTAAGGGATGATATTTGAACAGTCCGCAGGTCCCATTCATTGTAGTATACCCATGGATGTACGAATACAACTTAAACATGTGATGTATCTGGAGTTAATTTGTCTCTTTGTGCTACAGTTCCGTTTAAGGCCTTTGAGGGTCTGCGGGCAGAGGAGTGTGGGATCCTGAACGGCTGTGAGAACGGGCGCTGTGTGCGGGTTCAGGAGGGCTACACCTGCGACTGCTTCGACGGATACACCCTGGACCTGTCTCGCATGGCCTGTGTCGGTACGGTGCTGCTACACACAACCAAAACACAATGAAACTAAATTGATAGTCTATTTGCCAGCACTGGGAACCTGGGAATGTTGAGTACACCAACGTTTATGTTATAGTAAGGTCCCCAACACTTACAAACTGCCGGATGCTAACTTGAATATGTAGGGCAATGTGCACAATTAGCATAATGTGCGTTGAATAGCATCAATTACCATTATATGATTCTGTTTTCTTCAAGTTTGTATCTTGTTGGTCGAACGCACTTATTGTAAGTCGCTTTGGATAAAAGCGTCAGCTAAATGCAATGTACAGATGTAGCACCTAATTTCGGACAGTTTGAAACGTGATTGGAACGTGGTTCGCTCAAGGGAAAACCTCCAGCTTGACTTGAGACCGCCCCCGTGATAAATTATTGTAATTATTATGAAGCCAGCTGCAATGGATTATTGATCCACCAGGGGGTGCAGTGGGGTTCCACACTGGAGCTCATGTGAAATAAAGTCAGATACAGTACGCTGGATGTACAGCGGAACTTTGTTAAGATCCATATGTCACGGATATCATACTCTGTGCTAAATAAGAGACATGTAATCATTTACAAAACATCACCATGTTGTTATTTAACAAAATAATGTTGTTTAGTCGGAAAAAAACGAACGGGAGGAAATGCAGCCCGGCTCTCGATTTTTAATTCTAATTTAATCATCATCTTCACCACGATCATTTATGTTTATGTTCGCCGAATTGACATGAAATCACTGACACATATGAATATACTGTATTCAACTTCATTAAAACGTTATTAACGTGCCTAAACTCAGTAATTCACTAAACATATTTATATTTTAATGGAGCCTCGTCGGCAGATCAAGATCCCAAAGCTAGCGGAGGGATCTTGATCAGCATGAAGGGTGTTATTTTCCCCATAAGGAACAAGTCGCTGCAAATTATCCCGCTTATTACATGGCCACATTCTCAACAAAGTAGCGACATGACTCCCAATATTAATTGAAATGCTTTTATGGATTTAGAAAATGATTTTATTGATTTAAAAAATAGTTGTATGTATTGATTTAAATTGACATCCATCCGCTAAGAAAAATAGTCCGTTGTTACCGTTTTTTAAACAGTCTGAATGAAACGGCAGCTCTCAGCTGTGTATTTACACAACTAATGGCCCATCAACCACAGCTCTCTCCCCCCCTCCCCCCCTGATCTTTCTTCTCCAGCAGCTAAATTAACTGTAGGTTTAAACCATTTAAATGCAGACTTTTGTTCCTCAATGTTTCGTTGTTATTGTTTCACTGAGCGGACCCACGAATTTTTTTCAATCGCTCCCTTTTTTGGTCCATCTGCGGCGGTAATAAATGTTGTGCGCTGTGATGATTCGGCTGTTCCTTTAGTAATGGATATTACATTTTGTAAGTAATCTTTTCACCAATAATTCCAATAAGTAATCCAAAATGTATTCACTTCAGGTTTACGAAAGTAAATGTAAGAGACTTTAATATTTTATTGAAAAAAAGTTACATTGCACACACACAACACACATCACACAAATTGACCCGATTGGCGGTTCTAGTGTAAAATAAACTCACTAATTAATGAAACCAGTTCAATACGCATTATTCTTATTCTTATCATTCTTTATGAGCGCAGAAATAGTCTTAAAATCAGACCTGTTTTTTAAATGAAATCTGACGGCAGGCAGTTAGCTCTGATCACCTAATGATAAATGCGCCACACCTAATCGCTGGCCATTCAGCTACAGAGCTCCCTCTATACAAATCAAACTGTAGACGGTGTGAAAGCACCTATTGTTTTAAATAATGGTCGGAATGTGACCTGTGAGCCTTCTGAATTACCGTGGGACAGCACATTCTAAACTAAAATGTTCAATCAATAAAGTAACATCTTATCTTATCTTAATAATAATAATAATAAATCATACAGTATGTGTCCGAAAGGGAGCAGGAGGAAGCAAACACAAAAATATACAACAAATATACTGCATATTAAAGCAAACGATTGTAAAGGTAAAAGTATGAGCATAACAAATAAAGAAGTGTAATGTAAACATTTACATTATTATTATGATTATTTAATATATGAAGACTATATATTATTGAATTACAAGATTAGATATACTTTATTTGATCTAAAATATTGATGTGTTCAAATGTTCTTCAAAACACAACTGCAAGTGCTGAAAGTTGTCTTTCTGTATTTGTGAATGAAGCGCCATCTCCTGGTTAAAACCTGAAATTGAAAATCTGGCAATGCCCTCTTGGAAAATAGTGGGAGGGCTTAACATTCCTCAATACTGGTCTTAGGCAGGTCGTAGGCAGGAAGCTGTAAGCTGGAGTCCGAAATGAGGTGCTACATCTGTAATGTAATGTAATATGTGGACAATGGTTAAAAAATTGATTGGCCAATTTGGGCAATTTTTGAGTAGTTTGAGGATGCTGAATCCATTTCTGACATTTCTGGCAAATGGCAGTTTTAACCAGAAAGTGGCCAATGTGTAATCTCGGTGGGCTGATTTTGACTACCATGAGCAGTGTTGCGATCATTAGATATAGAGAGCACAAGATGAAAATGATTACCTCTACTGTTGAGAATTTCCCAACAAATGCAAGTGAGCATCCAGCAGTTTCTATGTGCTGGGGACCCGTACTATACATTTCTATCATTACACTTTGATGTACTCAACATTTCTGGGTTCACAGTAGGATTCTATGAGCTGGCAGCTAGACTATTAACTAAAGAATATCTTTCATGTTTGAGGTATACCTAGGATGAAAATTACAGGCCTCTCTCATCTTTTTAAGTGGAAGAACTTGCACAATTGGTGGCTGACTAAATACTTTTTTGCCCCACTGTATATGCCTAAAAATAGCATGATAGGTGCACTTTAATCTCATGTCTGTCCTCCTCTGTCCACAGATGTGAACGAGTGCTCGGAGCTAAACAGTAGGATGTCACTGTGTAAAAATGCAAAGTGCATTAACACAGTGGGTTCCTATCAGTGTGTGTGTCTGCCGGGCTTCACTTCCTCTGACAAACCCAACTACTGTGTGGAGGCAGCAACACACCGAACAACACACACAGCGAGCAGGAACCGACACTAGGGGGCGCCAAGAGACACTAAAACACACGCACAAGCTTGTATTACTATACTTGTGAGGACACCCTCTGACATTCAGCCACTGCTAAATCTTTAACACCAACCTAGAAGGGAAACTCCCTGCTCTGGTTAAATTAGGCAGGAAACACCTCACAGCTGCTCATCTAGAGTGACCACGAGGAAAACTTTTGATTCAACGTATAAAAAAATCAGGTTGTTTCCCTTTAGACTGTAAAACATATATGTTAAATCTTTGCCCAAAATCAATTTATCTCAAAAACATTAAACTTTTAAGTTACTTTAGAATCAACCCAATCCTAACACAAAACGCACTCCATAATTTGGAAACAAATCCACGGCAGCTGTTTACCAGTGTCATGTATTTTTACTAATGTCCCTTTACTACACCATTGATTTTCTATTCAGTACTTTTTCTAGTTTTACAATGTGGAGTTTTAATATTTTAAATAACCCTTCCTAAATATTATATATATTCCTGTTACTAATGCTTCATTTTGTAGAAATCATAAAAGCATGATTTTCGATGGATGTTCACAGACTACGCTGTTAACACTGAAGCTTGCCTCACTGTCTTTGTTTAAAGGAATTTAAGATTGTAGGATATAATGAGTTCTTTCCAAGAGTTGGATGGGAGATTTCACGTCTGTATACAGCTGGCTTACCCTGAAAACTGGAAGCAGCACCATACAACATCTAGTAATATATCCATGAGAAATATTAAGAAGGATGTAGGGTACATGTCATTGACAGCTTATTTCATTCCAATAGGAAGTTTTAAGGGCATTATGTATGATATTCCAACATGTAAAATGGAAAACTAAAATGTAGTGTTGCAGGTAGTAAATATGAAGAAATTGATTCACATTCTTATCACTAGAGGCCTTCTGCTAGAGCTTTAAAGGTTCTAAATTCCACATTCAGAGCATCGATTGTAAAGGTATGTAAGGGATAACGTGAGCACAGATCGAACTCAAAGGGGGCCTGAGCACCAATCTTTTTGCCCTCAAATTACAAGAGTCCCTTTTCAAATGTACTTTATTTTACAAACAGTAAATCTCTGTTTGCGCACATGTAACCCAGGTAACAAAGAGTTAACCACACAGAAGTGAATTTGCACATCGTTGTAAAGAGTGCTCTTTAATGAATAAGGTTCCCTCTGACATCCTCTGCACGCTCCTGAGGAGAAGTGAGCAGAGAATTACGTCCTTCTTCCTCTGCTGTTGTCGTAATCTGAGCTTCTGTGTTTGTGTTGCTTGCATAGTTAGTGCATGTGAGTCCCTGTGTGGGTGTGTGTATCCCTGTCCCACTGGCAGGGTCCATGTGCTCTGAATTTGGAATTTAGCTCCTTTAAAGAATCCTTAGAAATGTAGAGAATATTTATAGTCGTCTCTGAGTAACTAACCTCTCACGTCCCTTCACATATGATGAAATATCAGAATATATAATAATCAGCCTTTTCTTTCTTACTTAACATAACATTTGATTGATTTCCTGAATCCCTCATTTTAATGTATGTTTATTTTGGTGTATGGATTTACAATTATGTTTGTACTTGTTAAAGTTAATCAGATGGCAAATGCTTAATTGTAGCCAACAACTTTTAACTTTTATTTGACATGTGGAATGACTATCACAGAGGGGTGGATCTACGTGTTTGTCTTCCAGAGCTTTATCACTGCTTTTATCCTTGAGGAGACATTTGGTCCTTAAAAGTATAGAAATACAACAAACACACACACACATACACACACATGAATTAACGCCCATATACTCTGCACTGTATAAGATTCACACTACATGAAACAAACAGTTATGTACTTGAGATGAAGATTCAGCTTAATCTACTATGTGGTGCCGATGTGGGGATAGAAACAGAATTGTATGAAATTTATGTTTTGTTTGGTATTTTTCTAAGTTTGTTTCTCTACTTTAAGTGGTCTTTCATGTGTAAAGGCCTTTTTACTCATTTAACGTATTGACAAACCCATTGGACTCGTGCTGGGGGATCCAGTAGTTATTTTGTACCCAGTCAAAGTGATTGTGGATATTTAATTATGTGAAGAGGCCGAAGTGGCTCCCTCTCTTCCTCCACTGCCATCCCTGTGTCTGCCTTAAAGAAAAGCTTGTTTCTACACTACAGCACCACCAAATCATGCTACATTGCTTTAATTTGTAATGTTCTAAAGAAGGTTTCTCCTGTAAAGCCTTTGAAATAAGCCTTTAGTGGGACTTAGTCTTTGTTTTGTAAGATTCTTACTAAGAACTAAAAGGCTTTCCTGCTTTTTCTTTTTCTTCTCCATTCCTTCGTATGTTGAACTGACTGAAATGCATTTTTATTTTTCGTACTTGTCGTTTTACTGCAAAGTCTTGCCAGGTTGTAAAGCTGCTATGGGACAGCGATGGGAGAGAAGAAACTTGTGTACATTTAAACAAAAGAGTGGAGAAAACAACTGTATTTGTAATTTCAACATGAATAAATAGCTTTTTCTATGAATTCATATTACAGTGTACATTAAACCCCTTGGTAATAAACCACCAATTGTGATATTTGCACTGGCTGGCCTGTCAGTTTTTCCTGTTTCAAACATGGGTAGTGCTTCTCCTCACTGCTCACATTTGAACTGTATGTGGTAAAGGTTGTCTTTACAAATCTTACATATTGTGCATGTCTTTATATCTTCTAATTTACAAACAGCCAGTTGTCTAATTTCTTTATCTTCATTTAAACTGATTCAAACTGAAGTATACATTTAACGTACACATTTAACAGTGACAAAGCTGGAGTTCACCATATGGAATGCCATTTAAGCCAAAATTAAATAAATAATTAAATAAATACATATATATATAAATATGCCTATGAAATAAATGAGGCAATAAATATGTATACATGTACATTTAAATACACATGTATTTATTTCAGGGGACCGACCAATCGGAGCACACTGGGCTCACAGGGAGGGGGGGGCAAGAGCTGCAATGAGCCGTTTAGTGGAGAGAGTGAATACTGCTGAATACACATACTTTACAGAGATGCTGTATGCGAAACCAATGTGAGTTTGGAAAATTGCACAGTATAAATCTATTCTAGTAGACCACAACAATGGAATTATGATCAGTGGAAATGGCCATGACATGTGACCTTTAAGAGTACTGGAGTGTGAAACAAGAGCTATTGAGTCAGTGTTGTGGTGCTGTTGCTTTGGTCTGGATCCTATGGTCTGGATCAGTGAGCTAACCACGCCCCGTTCATTTGCATATAAGGAATGGAAATTAGTCATGAAATACAAGTCCCCTGAAATAAATAAACGTGTCATTATGAAATACAAGTCCCCTGAAATAAATAAATGTGTCATTATGAAATAAAAGTCCCATGAAATAAATAAATGTGTATTTAATCATGTATACGTATTTATTGCCTCATTTATTTATTTTAGAATTTATTTCATAGGCATATTTATATATGTATTTATTTAATTATTTATTTATTTATTTAATTTTGGCTTAAATGGCATTCCATAACTGTAGGCTGTGGTTTCCGCTCCAAAGGGGCGTGGCCAGCAGCAGCTCGGTTACATTTAAAGGGCCAGAACCAGAATCAGCACTTCTCTAACAGGGCTGAAATACAGGGGTATGAGGCGTGCTACAATGGGTGATCTGTCAAAACACTTCAGACATGTTTTTTATAAATATCGCCCTATAATATATTCAAATATAGCATAATAGTTGACCTTGAACAAAAGGATGTCTGTATTGCCTTACAGTTAGATACAAAAAGACGTTATAAATTAATGCTACAGTTCTCAATACATTGGTATTACAAGCAGGATTACAGTGTTACAATACATTTGAAAAAAAAGAACCCATATGTTCATTAATGATGTTCAATATTTTATGTTTTAAACTAAAACGGAGCCTTTTCTGTTAGCTTAGATTTTATTTCTAGTTTTTTAACAGTAGAATGTGCTCATACACATTTTCATTGTTCTATAGACCAGGGTTTTTACTAGGATTTATTTTGCCGGTCATTTATCAATTTATTTTACCGGACAAATTCTAAATTTACATGTTTCAATAATAATTAAAACTGTGGTCGCAGATGTGCGTGCAGTGATGAGCGGGCCCTCGTGTCCGTGCGCCTGTCGGGGAGGGCAGCCGGTCGTCCCGGCGTCGTTCAGATGCTCGCGAGTCCTCAGAAATTGGCCGTTTCTCATTTCTATAATTTTCGCGTCCCAGGCTCCCAGGTCCTCCGGCAGCGACCCGGAAACGGATGTATGCGCACCGTCTCGAAGGAAAACAAATTTCTACAAAGGCTCGTCGAGGCTCGATTATCGAGGAGGCTGTCTGGAGAAGCCGTAACCGAGGATACACTGATTTAGAGGAGAGAGGAGTCTCTTTGGAGGAGCTATAACCGAGGATACACTGATGCAGAGGAGAGAGGAGTCTCTCTGGAGGAGCTATAACCGAGGGTCCACTGATGCAGAGGAGAGAGGAGTCTCTCTGGAGGAGCTATAACCGAGGGTACACTGAAGTATTCTCGTCTCGAGACGATTTCAGCCAACAGTGATGTTTAAAAGAGGTGTGACGCATGGCTGGACTTCTGTCAACGAAGCACAGCTCTGCAAATTGTTCCCGTTGTGATTATAAGTTATTTGAGATGATCAAATATGCATCAGACTTTCTGCCCTTTACCGTTTGTTTACTCACTAATCACATGTCCCCTGGATGTTAGGCTATTTATTTTTATAATAAAACTGCTTTCATTGTGAGGCAATGTTTACAGTGAGAACAGCTGCTGAGGTCAGTGCAGAAAGCAGAACAGTGTGTATAATATATATTGCTCAATAAATAATAGATGTAATAGGCCTACATTTCACACTTTATTTGTAGGCTTTAGGAGATATCTACAAATAAACAGTAGATATTTGTCAGGAAACCATATAACATAATAAAATATACAAGGGCCGTAGCCTGATATTTATTATATGCTTTATGTGTTGTGTGTGTGTGTGTGTGTGTGTGTGTGGTGTGTGTGTGTGTGTGTGTGTGTGTGTGTGTGTGTGTGTGTGTGTGTGTGTGTGTGTGTGTGTGTGTGTGTGTGTGTGTGTGTGTGTGTGTGTGTGTGTGTGTGTGTGTGTGTGTGTTGATGAGCCGGGCAGACAGGTGGGTCTCAGTAGCTTAAGGTATAGTATGTGACATATAAATGGTCAAAAATGGTACATTCTCCGTTAACCTACGAGCTCCCCGTTCGAGTGAAGGACTATTCCTTCGCAATGTAGCATGACATTGGATATGCGCTTAAGTTGTCGTGGATTTGATTTTTTTCAATCATTTCCGTAGGAGGAGTTTGCAAAAATGTGCTTTAAATGCATGAAAAATGCACATTCTTCAATATCGTCAACTTCCTGGGGGGCGGGGCTAATAAAAGCAAATTAGAAATATGTCTGCAATCATAAGAGCAATAGGTATACAGGTTTTCGTGAATATTGGAAAAACTATATGCGAGTAGTTTGGAGTCATTTGGAGTCATTTGTGACATGTAAATCGTAAAAAATGGAAAATTCTCCGTTCGTTTAAGAGCTCATCGTTTGAGCGATCAACTATTCCTTCTCAATGTAGCATGACATTGGATATAGGCTGAACTTGTCCTGGATTGGAATTTTTCCGATCATTCCTCTAGGAGGAGTTCGCAATGCACATTTTTCAAAATGGTCGACTTTCTGGAGGGCGGGGCTAATAAAAGCAAATTTAAAATATGCCCGCAATCATAAGAGAAATGTGTATACAGCGTTTCGTGAATATCGTAAAAACTATATGCGAGTAGTTTGGAGTAATTTGCGACATGTAAATCATCAAAAATTGTGTATTCGCTGTTAGCTTACGACCTCCACGATTGAGCTATCAAAAGTTTTCTTCGCAATTCAGCATCATATTGGATAGGGGCTGAACTTGTCCTGGATTGGAATTTTTCCGATCATTCCCCTAGGAGCAGTTTGCAAGAATGTGCTTAAAATGCATGAAAAATGCAAAATGGCCGACTTCCTGGGGGGCGGGGCTAATGGAGCGTAATATTTGCTTCCACTAATGGCTAATGGAAGCAAATATGTCCGCAACTCCATGAGGAATGTCTGTGCCAAAATTCGTGAACTTCTGAGAAACTATATGTGACTACCACACAATAGGGGGCGCTAGTGAGCAGTTTTTTTTTAAAAATACGTTTTTTTTTTACATTCTCGAAAAGGTTGTGACGTGTGTCCCAAGTTTTGCGTCCGAAGCTCATTTTATGCTATTGTTATGGGTCCCCGATATGAGGACCACAGTAACAGTGATGATACCTGTATGGTGCAGGTGAGACAGAAGTAATGAGGACACGTTGTGTTCAGTTTCCTTCCAGATTACTTCTCCTGAGGTTGTTTTATTATACAAAATCATATAAACATATTCATTATCTCATGCATTTCAGTTTCGACTTACATTCCTCAATAACCATTCACATACCTTCACTCTATCTGTATGTTACTCTTTTATGTGATAAACACATGTCAAATTGAATTTGACATTCAATCAAATCTGTTGTACATTAAATACATTTGTATACAGTATTAACCTGTATATAATACTACTCTTCTTTTACTTTCACTTAAAAGTAGTATTTCATGACCCCTCTAACCTCTCATGTTGACTATTTACCTTCTGCGATTAATGGCAGGCCACTAACATGCATTACTGAAACATATTTAAGTGTAACAAACAACCTTACTGTTTTACCAACAGTAACGTCGGGTTACGTATTGTAACCCTTGTTATATTAGCACAGGCGGAGCCCTCTACTGGACTCTATGGGTACTACCTTATCCAACACACTCTCACTCCCTAAGCGTCCAATAACGACGTTTGGTCAGTGTCCGTGGCGTCCAGTTGTGACGCTCCTAGGCTCCTTCAGCGTCATAAAGTGACGCAAATAGCGTTCAACTGATTGCAATGTATTCCCATCTGCGGCGGTATTTGACGCTCAGGGAAGCACGGCATTCGTTTGTGTCGGCTGCCCTTAAAGGCAATGTGAGCGTCCATTCCCATTGGATAACAAATAATTGTACACCCGGAAGTAAGTATTCCTCTTACTGTCGATTGATTTTACAGTGATATCTGCACTACTCATCGACTAAAAAACACCAGATTATCCTTGTTAATTACACAACATTGATTGGTTTAAATTGTGTGCAATGCTTTTGTATTTTTCCCCTTCGATTCGGAGAAACAAATCTTTTTTCTGAGTAAAGGATGGCAGAAAACACTACACTACCCAGAATCCCCAGCTATCGTTTGGACTACACCATGTGCTCTGTTTGACAAACCCCGTGATAGTCCTCAAGCTCTGTGATTGGTGAGTGTGCTCCGAGGGTTACGCCGATTCTCGAACAGCACTTGAAATGGGATGGAACCACGTCAGACTGTCCAAAACTGGATTTGAACGGGTCCACCGCGTCCCCCCCTCCCCCACCCCGTCCCCAGAACTACACATGCTGGCTATTCTGTTTCGCAACATGCTCTCT